TCATGACCCCATACCAAAACTTTGTATTACCTTTAATCTTCACTACCAAGTCCCTTGGAGAGGCCTTTAAAGCTGTCAGTTTCATGGTTGCTTACAAGCACACAATAAAAAAGAAAACACCACCTAATCAAATAAAATTAAAAGCAAGAATGATAAAGCTACTGTTTTGGAAGCTGTAATCACCATAACATTAAAATTTTAATCGGTATTTCACTGTGATGGCATTGCTAGCAATTTTCCCGTTTATTTCAAAACTCAAAATGATTACCATTATTAAACATCACCTGATGAGATCTGTTTCACTTCAACTCAATAAAGGTTTTATTTCAACAATACTTGCAGTCAAAGGCTGACTTGAGCATGTTCACAACAATATCTCAATTTATACATGTACATTGTATCATTAACATTCGCAAAGAAAATGACAAATTCAAGAATACAATGATTAAGAAATATTGAACAATCTCATCATTTTGCTTATTACTGTATGTGAATACAATTGTTTTTAAAAGAGAAATATCCATGGTAAAAAAAAATCTAAAATGTAGAATGAAAATTTTGAAGTAAAAAAAGTCGTTACGACCACTGATCTACTTTATCATATAAAGTAAATATTAATGGTCTATGGTAGTGCTGCTTGGATTACAGCCAGTTTTTCAACTACACAATTGGTCTATTCCCATTTGGTCCACACGCAGCCCGTCTACTATCTTAACCCTATTTAGCAAACAAATCTTGCCCTGACATTTTATGACTTTTTTTCTTTCGAGTCTTGCACATCTTTTGATACAAATTTTTCGAAAATCTAACCTACGCGGCCGTTACAAAGTCACGTGACCTTTTGTCTTTGCATGTCAGCCCGAAAATCGCTCATTTTCGTGATTTGTGTTCAAAACATATGGAAATCTCATTTTTCCAAAAAAGAGATAAAATATTGGTTATTTGGTCTTGTTTATAGTTAAGGTGTTTAATTTGGGGGTCAAAATAGTTGAAATATAGTTAGAAATGTAATACAACAACAAAAATAACAAAATACATAAGTTAAAAAACAAAGAAATACACAAGAAATTATCAAAACAGCAGACAACATAAGGGATAACCTGGCTCTTCCAATTTTTGTTGTGGTATTATTATTCCAAACGTTTTATGGCGGAAGTCATAGGGGAGGCCTTAGAAGCCTCCCCCCCCCCCCCCCCCCCCAACCAGGCTATGCAGTTTAAAAATAGCCTAGGCTAGATAGGGTTAAACCATGTGGATAGTAGAGGGGCTGGGTGTAGACCATATGAGAAAAGATTAATTGCGTCGTAGACCAAACAGCAATTCACCTAGCCTTTGACATGGGATTATAATATTACTGGTAGTACGAGAAATAGTAAATTGTACAATAGAAAGAAGACCTATCATCATATTTTTCGTTCTTGAAAGATAGACGAGTACTGCCACAAGGGAAAGGCACTACTGCATAATCTTATTCCTCATTAATAATAATAATAATATGGATATTTATATAGCGCCGGTATCCGCCAGGCTCTGACGCTCATGGCGGTGTACATACATGTATTACTATCACAAAAATATAACTTTCATTAAAAGTCAAATTCATTTTGAAGGTCAGTAACTTTGATTTATCGATAAACTTTAATGATAAAATAATCCTGTTTACATTATGTGTTAAGGTGTTATGCTATGAACAAGACAATTGCAACAGTGTCTCCAATATGCACCTAAATTCAGATAAGATCTTGTATTACAAATATCACGATGAGAACAAAGAGCCTAAGATAATTACATGTCAATTGATCCTCATGAATATGACCTTTAACCTGACAATCCCGAATCTGATCACTTGTGACCCTATAGTGATGAATATTAGTCACAGGTTTTAAGTTCACAGCTAAAATACATGTAGCTCCAAATAGTTATAAATTTGGTCATACCAAGGTTTAAAAGCTTGAATTTCATGGAATTTGACTTGCTGACCTATGACATTCGACCTTCTTTCACCCAAAATCAAATCAATCATAGTGATGTACACTAATACCAAGTTTAAAGTTCATGGCTTAAAGACATTGTGATAACAAGGCCCTTAATGACCGGTCGTCTTCCACCTACATGAATTTACCCCAAAATCCAATCAGATCATCTTCCTATGTCAATACCAATTTTGATGTTCCTACGGCTACCTCAGTAGTTCTTGACATGTTGCTATAATGAGGATAGCACATGAATTTTCAGATATTGGCTATTGTATCCTGCATCAAAAATTTGTTGGCTTTTGATTGGTTGAGAGCTCGTCACATGACCAGAAATATTTGAACTATTTTTAGAAAGTTCTATATGAGAGTACTATTTGGGAGTACTACTTGGGAGTTGAAAAAAAATGTGAATTTTTTTTTTTTTTAATTGAATTATTTTTTTCTTCTTCAAATCTTAATTTAATGAAGACAAAATATTTTAAATCTTTTTAGATAAAAATTGACATTTTTTTTTTCCCCCCAATTTTGTTTTTGTTTTTGTTTTTGTATAAAATAAATTTTTGATGCAGGATATAAAACAATATACCATGCCTCTATTCGAGGTACTGGTTAAAACTATGGGCCTCAGTGACTCCAAAAGTACCATTTGCTTCAGGGCTGCGCCCCAAAGCAAATAGTATAGTACTATTGGAGTCCCCTCTTGCGCATAGTTTTAACCAGAACCTCACAAGACAGTGTACATTTATATACTATCATCTTTGACTTACTTACTCCGAAATCTGATTAGATGGTCTTCCTATGGTGATACACACTATCACTAGGTTTGAGGCTCATACCTATTGCGGTTTGTGAGATATTACGATAATGAATCCAAAACCTGTCATTTTTTTAATTGACCTCTATGACCTTTGACCTATGACCTACTTACCCACAAATCTACTCAGAATGTTTTCCTATGAACATACACATCTAAATTTTTGCACATTCGCAGGACTATTCTATTGTTCTGTGCAAAACTTCACTTGTGGCAAACAAGCGACAGTGCAGAGAGGCAAAGAAAGCAACCAACAGTGTTAAAGGGATCCGGTAACTTTGTCTCAGATTCTGAAACAAAATTCTGGATTTAGCTCATGATGCAATGATAATTATAAACCTTTTGGTCAGTCAGGAACCCCATGACTTTTACAAGCCGATCGCCTGTCTGACTATCAAGATATTTATGATTGGAATTACAAATTTTGAAAACCGTTCGCCTGACGGTTTTCATAACACTACAGTCTATTGGGGAAAATGAGTATGGTAAAACCGGTCACTCAAAGATTTTTACTTTTTTGAGGCACTTCTTGATCATTTTGAAGCGCAATTTTTTAGAGCTTCAATATTACACCATATCACAGACACTGATAACACGTAGGGCCGTGTATCTCAGATTTAACATTGTTAAACGATCCCTTTAAGGTCTATCAAGTGAATCTCCATAGTTTGCTCTTTTTTAACAACATACATGTTCTTGCACATAAAATAAAGCAGAGTGGCATTAAAATTTCCAATTTCCAAATACTATTAATTACAGGTCTGGGTAATCATCTAGGGCACCATTCCTTTGTATACCAAAAGAATGTAATTCACATGAAGACTTAGCAATATTGGCTGAGCCATTTCTGCTATGTTATCCAATATTGAGATGGAAAAGTTTTTGACAAGCTTCCATTTGGGGACTACAATTTTTTAGTCCTGGAGTTACCATACAAACAGTAAAATGGAACAACGGTCAGAATTTACATCATTCCTCTTTCATTAATAACATTTTCAAGTTTGTCCGGAAATCAAATTTTAGGATCCTAAAGTCATTCCTACATGTTAAAAAAATTAATTGCTTTAGGCAATTTTAAACATCAATTTTTCACTTTCAAATGTTGATTTAATGTCTGTTACCACTTCTAGCTCCTGGAAAGTCATCAAGTAAAGAGCATGAATTGTCAAAGACCTTGTACCAGTAGGCCATCAAAAACACATTGTCGTGGTTATTGTATAGTGCACTGAAGTTGTCCTGTACGACACTGTTTCTTGAAGATGTAAATCTTGTGCTTTATTCAAATGATAGATATTTGCAACATTAAGGGACTCCATCCTGAATATTAAGTTGGTTTTAATAGAAGCAGAACAAAACAGAGAGGAGCAAGTCAGTAAAAGGTTTAACATTCTGATTAAAGTGAATAAAGTTATGCATTTTTTAAGTTGCAATCAATCGCTTTATCAAACATAATTTGGCAACACTGTGACGTAACTTCGGGAGGTCCTCTCCAATTTGCTCTGTACATACAAAATTCATAGAATTCTTTGTTATTGTTGACGCAATAGACTTTTTCCATACAGGGATTGTATTTGCAATAATTATATTAAGGGTGCATGTGTGATTGAAATTTTCTTGAAGGAAAATTACATTTTCTGATATTGTAAGAACAAAGCAAAAGGGAGGGGACCTAGCAAGATACATCACAGAGATGCCACTTTGTGCTTGATTGATCGCAACTTCAAAAATTAATAACTTTCTTCTTTTTAATCATTTTTTGCTCAAATTTTCACTGACCTGTTTCTCTTTCTGCTTCCATTAAAACTAATGTAAGTTTAGGGTAGACTTCCCCTTTAAAGGTGTACCAGTATTAAAATCTTCTATAATATCTTGACTGTCCTGTCAGTATATTTTTAGTGATATTTTCGAAGCAACTCAGTTTTGTGCATAAACTAACAAATTTCAAAATCCCTTTTTCTGCATCTGGTACAACATACAGTATTAAATTTCTTTCTTACCAAGAAAGGAAAATGTGTAGCTGATCATATTTTCATAGGGCCTCCTGGTAATAATTTCCTATTACCATAATGCAAATCTTTGATGCTGATTCCTTTTCTTTAATAGCTAGAAAACGTTGTCCAAATATCCAATACAATATAATATACAGAATGGCCTGTAGTTGATCTACAATAACCAAAAATTCTGTATGAAATAAATACATGACTCACAAGTAACATCATCCGAAGTCCAACGCAAACTGACCTCAGAGTTTAATATTCATGAGTCTGAATCCAAAGTAATTGTCCTATATCACTAGCTAAACCAGTCTTTACTCCTCATACAGTAGGCCACATTGTCTTATATCACTAGCTGAACCAGTCTTCACTCCTCATACAGTAGGCCACATTGTCTTATATCACTAGCTAAACCAGTCTTTACTCCTCATACAGTAGGCCACATTGTCTTATATCACTAGCTGAACCAGTCTTCACTCCTCATACAGTAGGCCACATTGTCTTATATCACTAGCTGAACCAGTCTTCACTCCTCATACAGTAGACCACATTGTCTTATATCACTAGCTAAACCAGTCTTTACTCCTCATACAGTAGGCCACATTGTCTTATATCACTAGCTGAACCAGTCTTCACTCCTCATACAGTAGGCCACATTGTCTTATATCACTAGCTAAACCAGTCTTTACTCCTCATACAGTAGGCCACATTGTCTTATATCACTAGCTGAACCAGGCTTCACTCCTCATACAGTAGGCCACATTGTCTTATATCACTAGCTGAACCAGTCTTCACTCCTCATACAGTAGGCCACAAGAACTCTCTATGTATTGCTCTGGACTGAAAGTAACAGCTCCTGATCAGTTACTACATCGATCCACTAGTCCGCGGCCAATTGACCTCTGTATGTACTGGTCTGTATCCAAAGCGACAGCCCCTACTCCCATCAGCTTCCTCCTCATTCTTAATATTCAATGGACACTCAAAACCTTCCACCGGAATTTCTGCAAAATAGATCAATTAAAATATAGTTACAATATTACAAAAAAGTAACCTTTGCGCTTGGTACAATCAGGGACATGCTAGAGAATTCCCCCTTGCATGTTCATTCATACTTCATAGACTTTTGGCTGGATTGCTATAAGGATTTTCATGTTATCACAGTATAAACAATGTATATTCTGGTAGCTTTTAACACTTTTACGACCCTGTGACCTCTTTCACCAAAAATATAATTAGTTCATCCTTGCACCTACGGTGGTGGAGGTATAACAATGGCAGTACATGCCATCACATTTAGTCATTGGCAGGCTCATACTGGCTTTCTTTTTTGAGATTTTAAAGTGTGTAAGTACTATTAGTACCTTCATATTTGACCTGAGTAATAATAACATACCCCACTCTTTAATACACTATCGTGATAAAATACAGCTCAGGTATTCAGCAAGACAAAAAGAAGGTCAAAATGTATGAATACCCAGGGTTATGAATTACATCTAGAAGCAATTTCTGGAAATCACTAATAAACAGTCAATAACTAATTGTTTATGGCTCTGTATATAACGCCATGTGAGTGAGTTAAAATTGTTGTAATTGATGTATTTTTTGCTTTGTGATTGTAAATTGACATCTTGTAAAAAATTATGTAAATTGTGTAGAGAAGCCAGGCTTGCCTAGCACATGTGGTATTTCTGGTCTCATTTACCATACTTTAGCATGTTTGATTCTGTAAAATGTCTTTACTATTGTAATATTTGTACACATGTTACTGTTGGTGGATAAATAAATCAAATCAAATCACATATATATGTGAGACAGCAAGCAATTGAGCTTTTCTTCCTTTTCTCTTTCTCTTTTCTGTCCTTTTGCATTTGCTTAAACTGCTCCAGGCTGAGACTTCTCTACCTCCTTTTTAGCTATTCCACTGGTAGCACGAAATTAGAAGATGAAAAATGTACAAATACTGTCAACTAATATCCAAGATAATCACTATGAACATGACGGACAAAGAAAGCAGACAAAATATACAGTTCCTCATTCTACCCTCAACAATTGCTATGGTAGACAAAGGAACATCCCTTCACTGTCTGCTATTATGTAAAAATGTGTAGAACAGGTGAATATGCATGTGACACCTGTTCTACACATTTGTACATAATAGCAGTGAAGGGATGTTCCTTTGTCTAATGAGGAACTGTATATTTTGTCCGCTTTCTTTGTCCGTCATATTCATAGTGAATATTAGTTGAAGAGTAAGTTACCAATAGAGTCTCGGAGTAAGTACAACCTGTAGTCTTCAGCATCTCTCAAGTTCATTCGTTGAGCTAAGATACCACCTACATAGAGAGATAATAATCAAACGTAAGAAAAACAGATCATCAGCATCTCTCAAGTTCATTCCTTGAACTAAGTTACCACCTACATAGAGAGATAATAATCAAACGTAAGAAATACAGATCTCCAGATGGTTTATAGCTCTGCATGTTTCTTCGTCTTTGTTTTTCATCAAACAAAAATAAAATCACATAGAAAAGTACAAATTAGCACTTGACCAAAAGCAAGCATACAGGAAGTTGGAAACTGCCAGTGGTTTTATTTCAGAATTGTAACCAGCTTTTAATTTAGTGACGAGAGAGCCAGCCTGAGAAGAAAATGATATTTCTGTACATTAAGGGCATAAGGTAGTGCAGCGCATTGACCTGGCGCAGACCTGCCAATCTCTGGAGTTCAAAAACTGTATTCTTTAGTCCCAAAAGTTGTATTTTACTGACAAAAGTTGTATTCTTAAAAATAAACACGGATTGTTACGCGGATCAATGCCTCTTACAGTTTCTACCTACAGGAAGAATTTTTTTTATTGATCATTGGTTGAATATGCATGATTTCGTCATGACTGGTGTGTTCGATGAACCAATGAACATCCCCAAATTGCCGATGTGAGATGCTTGTAGGATACTTTACATGACAGAATGGACATTTTGCCATTGAAAATGGCGGACACACACACAAAACATTAATTTAAATTTTTTTTTTTTAATCGTACTGTCGTATTTACTTCTAAAAGTCGTATTAAATACGACTAAATCGTACTGATTGGCAGGTCTGCTGGCGTGCATATATTCAAGAAATTGTCATCCACAACTGCACCATTGTAAACTCTATACGGTATGTTTAAGGAATCCTCACCCTAATGACTAAGTGTAGGTTTGCTACAATATAAGATTATATTCCTCGCTATTGATGTACAATATTCTTAAATAAAAATGTACAAGAGATATATAAATGAAGATATTCTTGGCATGTCATGGGCGCAGCCATTTTCTTGATCATGTGATGTACTATGCAAACTTGTACATGTATCATTTCTGACTACAGCGTGGTGCATGATACATGTAAAAATTCGCCTGGTACGCCACATTATCAAGAAAAATGGCTGCGCCTAAGTCAAGTACAAATATTACTTTTTAGGCGATTGGTACACTTTAAAATTGATATGGATATTACTAATTTGGGAGGATATTATTTCTCCTCTCGACTGTTAGTAATTCTTGTGGCAATGTATATACAGAGTTTGATTTTTGATTTGTCACATAATTAATTTGGTTAATATAGCAAGAGAAAGAACAGAAAAGAAACATTCAAACCTAGGAAACTGCCTGAATACACAAGACAATACAAGGTGGAAAAATAATCCACATAGTTATACATATATTCAAAAAAAATTAAAAATAGGACAAACATACCGTTCTACAAATAAATATTTTTATAAATGTAATGCTTCCTGGGAGAAATTTCAATTATTTGATTGATCGATCTGTATTGAAAAACAAGTCAGAAAAAAAAGGGGAAAATTGATCCTATTTACTGGGTGTAAGCCAGAAATATGTTTAAATATGTTTAAATGTTAATACCATTGATCTGTACCTCGATCATAATATAAACAGTTGCAATCAATCATATAATTTTAGTTTTGCTGAAAAATCAAGATGCACTGTATCTAACTATCCCATAAATTAATTGTAAAGTTTGAATGAAGGAGATACATGTACAATCAATCCAAACTTTTTATGTTACTGGCCTGATGTTTTAAAATTGAACATCAAATGTTGAAAACAATGTCCACAAGATTAGATAAATAATAACATGAAATACTTACACACTTCACTGGCCAGCATACCAGGCAATACAGGTAAAGTCTTGAGGCTAATACAGGTAGGATCTTGGCTTACTGCAGCTAGCACAGTAAGGAAGCCCTGTGTCTCTCTAGTATTGTCCTCTTCAAATTGCTTCAAGACACAAACTGTAGAGGGTCAACATAATTTTAAATAAACACATTTTAGGCCAGAATTTAGGCACCTTAAAGCATGGTCTGAACTCCCACATTAAACCATTGCACATCCATGCCCATATGTCCAATGAGCAGACAATTATTGCTTGTACGCATTTATTTCAGCTTCTTAATGAGCAGAGAAGTTATGCTTGTACGTAAATGTAAATGTAATACCTTGTAATGTAAAAGTGTCACAACATACTTAGTTATGTTAGCCCTCCTTTATTAAAGTTTTCCAATAATTTTATTTATTTACAACTTAGGAATATACCCCCCCCCCTTCCTTCGTCGTTCTTCGCTTTATTTTCTTTTTTCTCACCAAGGATTAAATCCGAGAGTGCTTTTCAGGAAGTGGACTGATTTTTTTTAATTTTCAATCTAAAATAAAACTAGAGAAGCACAATTAAAAATCCGCAATGAAAATAAATATAAGAGAGACAGGAAACATAATCTTTGCTCTCCTCTCATCTCTGTTGTCTTTGTTCAACCCTCACTCCCCTCTCAGCTGTTGGCTATTCCTGCTTCTACTGAACTAGACATCGTAACCTGCTCACCATCACCACTGAAAATATATTGTAACCAGCGAGCAATCGAATTGTGTAAATTTTGAATCGTGTTGCAGAGATTTTCGGGGTGCAGATTACACGATTTACATGATTCGACCCGAGTTGAGGAATCTTGTAATTTTACACGATTACATGATTCAAAAAATTTCACTTAGTTAGCAAAAGACAAATAATGTAAAAATAGATCGTTACACGATTCCCGCGAGCAATCAAATTGTGTAATCGTGTTGCTGAGATTTTCGGCGTGTACTGTACATTCACCTAAAATTTAATTAAATTATAATAATATAGTTGGAAGAATTTAGGAATTGATCAGATCATTTTTCCCAATTGTTATCATTAATACTGGTCTGTTCTCACTCAAACTTGGTAAGATTACAGGGGTATCATTAACTGTAGATCTAGCATTGAAGTCACTACCTTAGCACCATTTTCTCTCATCTGACCAATGTTACCAAGTCCCTTTTAAGGGTCTATATACATCCAACTTACTTGCACTGCTGAGGGTAGTAAGGTAATAGCCACCCTCCCCGGATAGCATGGAAGGGTCCAGAAGTCCCCACATGTAGTCTGCTTCAATCTCCATGCTTATCATTTCACACTGCACTAACACATAGATTAACATGGGCAAGAAATCTGGCAACAATAAAGAGAGAGAGAGAACAAGATTACTGTGACTGCAGCTCCAATATGGCTCAGCCCATATATATGTTCAATGATCCTGTGACCTCCTGTGACCTTTAGCAAACCCAAACCTATTTACCATTGGCATATTTACGTTTGACATATTTACCTCTGGCATTTTTACCTCTGACTTTTCTTACCACTGGTATTTTTACCTCTGACATATTTACCACTGGCATTTTTTTACCACTGGTATTTTTACCTCTGACATTTTTTACCACTGGCAATTTTTACCTTTGACATATTTACCACTGTCATTTTTACCTCTGACAATTTTTACCACTGGCATTTTTACCTCTTGACATATTTACCATTGGTATTTTTACCTCTGACATTTTTACTTCTCACATTGTTAGGTCCCCCTAAAAAATCTCTACTCTCTTACCATTTTGTAACAATTGGTAGACCATACAAAGAGGAGAAATCTTCTAATCCATGATATTTTAAGGGATTTGGAATGAATCAAAATATCAATCTATTAAAAAGGGTACTGATCTCAAATCAGGTTTGTTACCCTATATAAATGCATAATTTGTGAATTGGTTCTGGAAGTGATAGCAATTAATAATTTAGTTTTGGTACCTACAAAGACTTAACTACCTTACAATTATTCTCCCTAGGGCAATTCAGGTTCTTTTAGACCATGATATAATTTGGCAGTTTATGTTTCCAAATCATTCACAATGATTATGATTGTTTTGGTATGAGATTGGTTTTTTCATATTAAGGAAATTCAATCAATGCAAAGGGTATTTAATTAGAGAGCAATTTTTCCTGTGACTTTTAAAAGCTTGATTGTCATGCGGGTTATAGTGTCATATATGTTTTTGATTTTTCAATCTAAAGATACCTAAGAAATTTGTTACACATTGGCAAAAGTACGACATCATCAGTCGTCACTCTCACTTTCATTGCAACACGTTAACGAAGGTGTTAGCAGTTCATCGTCTTTTTGTGCTTGTATTCAGCAAGGTTATTTGTGTCCCGTCACAGAAATTGAATAAAACCTACACTAGTAGGACTATCTCATTCTAACAGGGCTCATCTCGGCTTGTTCTCTAATCTAGCCAATGATCAACCATTCTATTCCTAAATACCTCAGGTAACATTGTGTTCTGGCAGTAACTACTGTTTGTTTGTATTTTTGCATGCTTTATTTTTATTTTGTCCTCATCTATATCACTTGTGGTTTCATAATATTTGGACATCTTTTCAAAATCATCTAATATTTTCAGTGCACTCTTTAAATCTATTGAATCATTAAGTGTCATCTGCATATGGGGGGGGGGGGTTCTCTGTAGGCCCAAGTCAGGTGTAAAAATGAGGCGCCCTCTAGAGCCTAATGTATGATAAAGAGAACAAACATTAGCCTCCACATTCGCAACATATTTCTGCTTCTATTTCAGGAGTGAAATGTGTTTTGGATACAACATACATCATATTTTTTATTTTCTTATCATTTGCTAAGCTGTGACAATTCATCGAAATAAAAGTAATATCATCATACAAGAGTAGAAAGAGGAAAAAGATCAACAAACTACCTCAATAAAAGACAAACAAGACAGAAAACAAAACACAACAAGAGAACACAAACATGATAAAGTTTGGCATAAACTGCGAGCCTGAATAACGACAGGCCCAACAAGCCACTGAAATACTAGCGTAATTATTTACTATATCTAAATGGTAAAGTGGAGTAAAATGAAGAACAAAGACATATATTAAAGAGCAAAACCAAAAGAAAATTTTATAACCACACTTTGAGAAACCTGATATACAGAGGTTTTGCTCTCATCAGTCTTGGTTGTTAAAGATAAAGAGACCACTGATAACCTTTGAAACCCCTCTGTTACCTCTGACAGAAGTCAGCAACCAATTCCATCTCTTACTGTGACTTTAATAGGCTTTATACCCCTTTCCATTTTGGATTTAGACTTTTACCAAAGTCTTTTAAATTGTTCAATATCCTAATGATTTTGTGGTTTCAATTTACATGCAGCTATCAAAAGGAGGACAATGAACGGAACTCCATCTAAAGGGGGGAAAAAAGTTTAAGGAAACTTTAATTTTCACATTATACATGTACATACCATCCGCTCCCATAGAATTTGCAACTTCTTGTCCAGTGATTCTGTCTCGGACCTGCAAATGAAAACATCATTTTAAAAAGCTGAAAAAACAACAGAATTCTTAGAGACATTATGCTATTTGCGGTATATAAATATCTTATTATTATTATTATCATTATCATCATTATTATTATCATTTTATATTTCCATAATAATGTGTTTAATACAGTAAATTTTAGCTTGCGGGTGTAAACAAAATAAGTAGATTGTGGGGAAATGCCAAAGTTAGGAGGTCAAATAGGGGTCAGATCACCAAAGATTCGCTCACTAATCGCAACGCTACACTATGTCTGTCTTAGTGTTTATATTCATAATATCTTGTGTCCATTTTCGTTTATAAAGTGCCCTAAAATATAACAGGTAACTGAATTTTTAGGGTAGTGGACCTCGGATGAATCCTGTCTTGTCCAAAACTGTCCAGCCTCATCCACTTTTTGTACATGTATCTAAGCTGCCTGGTGAGGGTGAATCAAATTGGATGAACTTTCTTTAATCTTTCAGCAAGGGCCTTGGTATAAAGCAAATAATTACTGTTGGTGAAGGTGATGGGACAAACTATCACTTCCGAGGCGATCTGGATGTAGCTATCTTACCATCGCCTGAAACCAAAAGGTGATTATTTGCTTTACATTCCACATCAGAAACATTCCACTTCTTCCGTCATTTTAGAGCAACATATCATCAATTAAAAGCTAGCAAACGGTGTACGATACGTACAGTGCATGCAGGTGGTGTGACCATAGTTCGCGCGTGTCCAAAGTTGCGTACTAACACTAAAAGCGCTTAAAGAGGAGAGCAATACACAGCGTATTACAAGAAAGTGTGTTGCACTCTGTAGATAGTACTTCTACCTACACAGTACAACAAACTTTTCTTCTCCCATCAATGATGGGCGAACTATCTTTCATCACGTGATTTACTTTTGACCAATCGTAGAGCAAGATTCTTAGTACCGGTATGAGGAATATAAAACCTACTATCAACTTGAAGTCAAATTCATTTGATGAATTGCCTATCAAGTGACATTTTATCTTTACCTTTTGTTGACCCTTTTTTAAACAGATATTAAGATTATCTACCTTCAGCTGACCAACGTCTTCAATATATTGAAGCCATCAGCTTATGAGCAGAGCTTTATAAAGAAACTTGATTACTTTGGGTGATTTACAGACATTTCTTGATGTTATTTTTTCTTTTATTATTTTTACTCATTTACTTGTATTCTTTGTCATTATTATATGTTTGTGGAAATTACATAAAATCTTGACCAGAATTAGCACTAAAATCCTATACAATGAAATTTCTAAGTCACTTTTTTTTAAAACATATAGACAATACATGAAAGAAGTACATTATTCTGTTAGAAGCAATTCTCCCTATCCTAAATAGCTCTCTGAATCCAAGTACTTGTACATCAGCTGTTTGCTGAAGGCTTGGGTGGTCCTCTTGTTGACAAGAAGTGATTCTGGTTCCGACACATGTACATGCTCGATTCCAAGTAGAGTCAACTCCTCTGGCTAGCTAGATGCAAGATAAATGTGGATTCACTGCACTCAAAGCCATACAGGTATGTTGCATATACACGTATATAGTTGTGCAAGATGCGCAATTCGAATCCATGCAGAGTCATGTTGAAAACGTCTGTTTGACTGATGTTGGTTCCGTGACAGTGAATGATATATACGGGCATTCCCTTGCTTACTAACTACACAGTGAATGCGCGATACCTCAGCGGTAGATTATGAAGTATTGATATGGAAATATAGATAGAGCCCTGTTTTTAGAAGCTTATAGAGGATTGTCTCCCGATAACAAGAAAACGGCACAAATGGATACACGACCCAAAAACATAATGCCTCTGCATGGTTCTACCTTCAGTGGGTGAGGGCATAAAATGAATGATATTTCTGAAGGGATATAATAGGCTTTCTAAAAACATGTTTCAAATCAAACTCCTTCTCACTTAATATTTGAGGTATTTACTTACTGATTTGTATATTGCTTTTACAATCTTGAGCAGTAAATCCAGTTTGTTGAGAGGGGAGTAAGCCTCTTGAAGCTGTAAGAAGAGCTGTCGAATCTCATCTAGATCTTCCCCTTCGGGTGGCATGTAGTTCGACTACAAACAAATGATGACAAAAGTAAACTAATCCTTTAAAATAACATTAATTATTATATCAATCTGAGTGTATTCTTATCACACAATATCATCCATCAATTATAGTGTGACACTAACAAAGACTGTTTGACCTGACTGCAGTATAAAGCAACTCACATCATGTCAAATCCAGCATAACAAACATAATATTCACATACTTGCCAACATTTGAAAATTAAAATATCTTACTCTGAGGCACTTGATGGAATATTAAAAAAAAAATTAAATGTTACCCTTAAAAATTTAGAATGCCAAGAATGTAACGCTGATAAATATAGAGTCTAGACTATTCATACTTAGGCCTGTATTTCTAAAATATACAATCCTTTATACAAGTATGCACTGTTTAAAAAGACTCCAATTTAGAATCATATTAATGAAAAATAGTTTGAAAATATATATTGACATTTATTTATTCTAATTTTCAGACTTCAAGGTTAAAGCTAAAACCATGAAAGGAATTTCCTTTAAATAGTTGATTTAGGAGCACTCCAACAAAAGAAAAAAGTACAAATCTTAACCTAAATTTCATGGAAAGTAATTTACAACTGACAACAACACTAGAAATGATGTATGATAAATCTTTCAAACATTAAAAATTAATATTCTGTTACATATTTTCCATGTAGACATTGCTCATACAAATTTGGTTTGGGATCCATAAAGTAATGTTACATCGTTTGTGTAGACTCCACACATATATACAGGAGAGCCACGGCACGACCTTCACCATATGCTATGCAAGAGGTTGTGGTGGGGAATTCTAATGCTCAACTTTAATCATTGTTCAAGCTTTATCCGACTTAATTTCATTAACTTCACTACATTGTATAAACGTGATAAATGATACATTAAAAATTGAGAAGAGGATTTCATAGCAACATCTAAATTATTCTAGTTCCAACATCAAAGGTTCCTTGCAAAGGATAGTCGCCAATTTTTTTCCAAATATTAGTACCAATATGACCTAGAAATTCTCTAAATTCTGATATTTATCAAATTTTATTATAGGGATAAGGAATGTGGCATTCTACAAACAGGTATCCGTAAGGTGTCATTCTTGCTTTTTTTGTCAGAAGTTCCTATACATGTCAGTAAAAAAAATGGTGCCCTCTGTTTGTTCCAGGTCATGACTGGAAAACTGGTGAATATGCAACAATTTTCCTGAATTGTTGAACAGTTAGAATTGTGTTACCTTTATTCCTAACTCCTCAGGGGTCCTTTTCTTTGCTTGCATGATATTATGATCCATTAAGGCCATTGATCCATTCCTAATATGAAGAAAGATACAGGACATCATACCTCATGTTTCAGTATAACAGAGAGGGAAAAGTGGATTTGTTTTTGTTTAAATAATCACCTGTCGATGTAATAGGATGCATGTTCATAAAAAGCCCTTTAAAAAGTTTGGAAACTCAACACCAGTAATCGATGAAATCTCTCTTGTAATGGCATAATCATCACAGTCTTCAGTGTTAGGCTTGAGTCGGTACGGTCGATCACACCGGGACCCGACCCTTGCCGTCGGGTCCCGATTTCGTTTTTTGAGAATCGACGCTCCGAAGAAAAAAAATGAAATATGTAAGAAATTGCAGTTTTGCACACCACTAAAATCAATCCACCTTAAAACTTAAGTATTTAATTGTTACCAATCATATTCTAGCTCATCCTGAATTCTTTGTCCAAGTTATGTATCTGATTATGGAAAAGTAGTTGTCTTTCCAATTGTGCTCTCGTAGTTTTTAATGATTTGTTTCTCGTTACGATCACGTCTTTGTTTGGGTTCGTTCTGGCACGCATTACAGCTGACGACAAGGAGCACTGCGCATTTTTCCGAGACTAGTCTGAACTTGCCTTGCAACAGCTATCTGTATCGAAACTTCTTGTGATTACCAAGTAATTTTCAGCTTTTAAAAAAAGCATGCGATGTTTAAAATAAGAGATAAATAACCGTCGGGACCCGGTTTATGGAAATCCCGAAATGACTCAGGCCTATTTAGTATCATTAGAAAGTGGGTAAATTCCTTTTTTAAATGATACCTGATTTGCTGTGATTTTTTTCAGTCATGGAATGTGCAGTAGCTCCAACTAAGGGGCAAGGTAAAAAGTCAAAATACCGGTACACTGATTTTGTTCGACTGTGCATTCAAATTGCCTGGGCCTTTTGAACGGATGTTAACCTAGGCACAATGCTGCAGAAAGTTGATGACCAAACAGTAACAAATCTTGCCTGACATGTCACAATACTGCATGAAATATCGTACCGTAACAAAATATGGCGATCGAGCTTTCTCAGTAAATGTCCCTATCCTTTGGAATAAATTACCAGCGCACTTAATTCATTCTCTTGACCAATTCAAGTCCTTGCTGAAAACTCACCTTTTTAATTCATAAACAATATTCTGCAGTTGTGAGTCGGTCAAAGGAAGTGCATGCCGTCTTATTTTTTTGTTTGTTCGATCATATGTTTGATCCTATGTTTGACCTCTTGTATGTATGTTTGATCTCACTCTTATCTTATTTTTTATTATTATATATGCATGATTTATTGAATAAAGAACAGATGTATAAGTTGTGTGTTTATTATAAGTTTTGGTAAATAATTGTTTAGTCAGAATATGGTGCACTTAGAGACACCAGTATTAAGCGCCTTATAAATATTGTGTATTATTATTATTATTATATTCATTAGATTTTGGCATTCATGGATGACCAGTTAGGAACAATAGCCCCACTGTCACACTCTCTTGTTAGTGTCAAGGGAAGAAGAGAGTTCAGCATAACAACATCAGTGCTTACCAGTTCATTTTACAACTTTTCACAATTGACCCTGCCCCTTGTTCTGATGTACTGCTCACTCCATGGATACAAAATCATAACAAATATGACATCATTTTAAATAGGAATAAACACCGAAATTCAATGGATAACATGACCAGAAACTGGTTTGAAAACCTTAAAAATTAAATCTGCTTTAAAGGTAATACAAAGTTTCGCTATGGGGTCATGAATTTGATTCAAATGAACATATTGGAAGCATATGCAATTTTCCAATATTCAATTATCGTTGTCGCGGTTGAAATGGAGTTTAAAGTGATGAAATTGTAAATAATAAAGTCTTTATGTTTGAATAGCTCCCTCTCAAGACTGATATTACTTTAGCTTTGAAACAATATTTCTTGACTACAATCAACCGATTTGCTATTCCCGTTTGGAAATTATATATCAGAACTGCATATTTTGAGATTTTCATGGTCGCAGCTACCATGGAATGGCCTTAGGCGCGCTATTTGAAATATTTGAAATTTACCATGAGCACCTGTAAATTCTTTATTCTTCAATTTCTTGAAAGCAGAAGTGTTTTAGGAGCTAAATTTTCTAGTGCTTATAATAAAGAATAAAGAATTACTATCCATCTAATTTTCAAAATTTCCCAACTTTTGCATTACCTTAAACAGCCTCAAATGCCCCCAAACACACAATTTGGGCCAATTAAAGGGGATATGAGCATGGTGATTTGTATTTTTATTAATATTTGTGATTTGACATGGAATGACCCAATTATTAAAATTATCAAAGTTGAGCTCCATGCAACAGTAAAGTAGACAAATTGTTTGTTCTCCGAGTCATAGTAGTACATCTTACCTGTTATATTCATTGATACAGCTCATGCCTATATCTGACTTCAAGGGTTCCAGGACACACTGATGTAAAGCGCTCTCAACAATGGCTTCCAAACCTGCTAGATCCAACTCGTCCATGTGCTGTATTTAAAAAAAAAAACCATTTCATCAAAGTGTGATCTCTGTACCGGCTGTCAAACACTATACTGATACATGAATGAATCCTACAATGTACAGTGTAGTGTAATACTGAAATATTACTATTGGTGTGTATACTAACCCTGTCAATGACAGCATCAATCTCTGGCTCTCTTTTGTTGAGAAGATAATTCTTTGTACCACTCATGAATTGTCTGATGCTTCGAAGTACAATGTCAGGTTTGTCAGTCTCGCATTTCTCTTCCTGTGTCCTGATAAATCCATTTACCAGAGCTCCAAGACCAATGCTTGTATTTGCAGCCACTCTATACAGCAAGGAAAGAAAAAATTATTATTATTATTTTATTTGGCAGAAAACACATGAAGTGACATGATATCAAAATACAGATTTGAAAATAATTAATTGATAGCAAATCACACACAAATACATGAACACTGGGTGCACCCAGTTGTGCTGCCAGGCCTTAGGCAAAGTTAACCAAATAACTATAGTCCGCAGACCGCCCTCACCTACATGTATATCCCAACCAGATGCAATCAGTGTTGCAGATTTATGTGACAAGGACAATCTAAGAGATACATGTACCACATTCAAATAATTAAAATGCGCCGAGACAAAGCCTACAAATTTCCCGAGATGTTGAATCACACACCAGAGACTCTTGAACACACCAGCAGAAAAAAGTGGCACAATATGATCATTAGGGAAAATTTTGTATCCGGAGTGTGATTCAACCCTAAAAAAATCTATAGGCCTATACATGTATTTAACATAATACATATATAAACAACATGCAAAATGTGACATTACAACAGTGTTAATATTGCACAGATAGAGTAAATGCATATACCGGTATACATACAATTAAAGGAAAGTTGCATGGACGTTGAAAGAACCGACTCACTGAATAGTGAAACCATACATGTAGAAACATAAGGCGATAAAGGTCATTCAATAATATACTGACCAAGTGAATAGGAAATTATTAAGTTAAGGTAAAATCTATGGAAAATATGTATCGACAATTTATAAGTCATACCTGCTGTGGCATGTTGGCAGACCAGCTTAAAAAACATTCTTCTAATAATTATATTGCACTGCTAAACTAAATATCTGAGATTTCATATTAGTATTGAAAATTTAAAGTAATGACTGAACTGAGGGGAACATTCAAATATAATGGAGCCTTTATAATAGCATTTTACTTTACCACTAAAGAAATCTCTCTTCAAGGGATATTACCTTTGAGATGTCTTACTATGATCTCTCTTCACGGGATATTACCTTTGAGATGTCTTACTATGATCTCTCTACAAAGGATATTACCTTTGAGATGTCTTATTATGATCTCTCTAAAAGGGATATTACCTGAGAGATATCTTACTATGATCTCTCTACAAGGGATAGTACCTTTGAGATGTCTTACTATGATCTCTCTTCACGGGATATTACCTTTGAGATGTCTTACTATGATCTCTCTACAAGGGATAGTACCTTTGAGATGTCTTACTATGATCTCTCTTCAAGGGATATTACCTTAGAGATGTCTTACTATGATCTCTCTACAAGGGATATTACCTTTGAGATATCTTACTATGATCTCTCTTCAAGGGATATTACCTTTGAGATGTCTTACTATGATCTCTCTTCAAGGGATATTACCTTAGAGATGTCTTACTATGATCTCTCTACAAGGGATATTACCTGAGAGTTATCTTACTATGACCTCTCTCTACAAGGGATATTACCTTTGAGATGTCTTACTATGATCTCTCTACAAGGGATAGTACCTTTGAGATATCTTACTATGATCTCTCTTCACGGGATATTACCTGAGAGATATCTTACTATGATCTCTCTACAAGGGATATTACCTTTGAGATGTCTTACTATGATCTCTCTACAAGGGATATTACCTTTGAGATATTTTACTATGATCTCTCTTCAAGGGATATTACCTTTGAGATGTCTTACTATGATCTCTCTTCAAGGGATATTACCTTAGAGATGTCTTACTATGATCTCTCTACAAGGGATATTACCTGAGAGATATCTTACTATGATCTCTCTCTACAAGGGATATTACCTTTGAGATGTTTTACTATGATCTCTACAAGGAATATTACCTTTGAGATGTCTTATGATCTCTCTTCACGGGATATTACCTTTGAGATGTCTTATTATGTTCTCTCTTCAAGGGATATTACCTGAGAGATATCTTACTATGATCTCTCTCTACAAGGGATATTACCTTTGAGATGTTTTACTATGATCTCTACAAGGAATATTACCTTTGAGATGTCTTATGATCTCTCTTCACGGGATATTACCTTTGAGATGTCTTACTATGATCTCTCTACAAGGAATAGTACCTTTGAGATGTCTTACTATGATCTCTCTTCAAGGGATATTACCTTTGAGATATCTTACTATGATCTCTCTTCAAGGGATATTACCTTTGAGATGTCTTACTATGATCTCTCTTCAAGGGATATTACCTTTGAGATGTCTTACTATGATCTCTCTTCAAGGGATATTACCTTTGAGATGTCTTACTATGATCTCTCTTCAAGGGATATTACCTTTGAGATGTCTTACTATGATCTCTCTTCAAGGGATATTACCTTTGAGATGTCTTACTATGATCTCTCTTCAAGGGATATTACCTTTGAGATGTCTTACTATGATCTCTCTACAAGGGATATTACCTTTGAGATGTCTTACTATGATCTCTCTACAAGGGATATTACCTTTGAGATGTCTTACTATGATCTCTACAAGGGATATTACCTTTGAGATGTCTTACTATGATCTCTCTACAAGGGATATTACCTTTGAGATGTCTTACTATGATCTCTCTACAAGGGATATTACCTTTGAGATGTCTTACTATGATCTCTCTAAAAGGGATATTACCTTTGAGATGTCTTACTATGATCTCTCTTCAAGGGATATTACCTTAGAGATATCTTACTATGATCTCTCTACAAAGGATATTACCTGAGAGATATCTTACTATGATCTCTCTTCAAGGGATATTACCTTAGAGATATCTTTCTATGATCTCTCTACAAGGGATATTACCTTTGAGATGTCTTATTATGATCTCTCTAAAAGGGATATTACCTTTGAGATGTTTTACTATGATCTCTCTTCAAGGGATATTACCTTTGAGATGTCTTATGATCTCTCTACAAGGGATATTACCTTTGAGATGTCTTACTATGATCTCTCTTCAAGGGATATTACCTTTGAGATGTCTTACTATGATCTCTCTTCAAGGGATATTACCTTTGAGATATCTTACTATGATCTCTCTTCAAGGGATATTACCTTTGAGATGTCTTACTATGATCTCTCTACAAGGGATATTACCTTTGAGATGTCTTATGATCTCTCTACAAGGGATATTACCTTTGAGATGTCTTACTATGATCTCTCTACAAGGGATATTACCTTTGAGATGTCTTATGATCTCTCTTCAAGGGATATTACCTTTGAGATATCTTACTATGATCTCTCTACAAGGAATAGTACCTTTGAGATGTCTTATTATGATCTCTCTACAAGGGATATTACCTTTAAGATGTCTTATTATGATCTCTCTTCAAGGGATATTACCTTTGAGATGTCTTACTATGATCTCTCTACAAGGGATATTACCTTTGAGATGTCTTATTATGATCTCTCTACAAGGGATATTACCTTTAAGATGTCTTATTATGATCTATATAAAATGTATTTTACCTTAGTATTGCTTCTTGGATGTCTGTGCTGGCATCTCTCTTCTTGCTCTTTCCTGATATCCTATGCAGTTTCTTGGTGGCCCCACGCGACCCTTTTTTAGCTGTGACACGAAGGAAAATGTATACAAATGGAACATTACCGGTATGTAATATTGTATTAATTATCTTGAAGATTTAATTATATTGAACTATGTAATACAATAAATTTATTCAAATGTAGATTTGTGACAAAGTGCATCATGGACTGTACTAAAGGAAATGAGAATATTTGATTTGTAGATCTGTGTGATGAACATTAGCATACATTACATGAATGTTGGCACTGACAAACATGTCAGTTATTTGTTGTATCAGAGACAGGATGTACATGTATACTACATGTATCTCTATCTCTTTTCAAACTCTTTGCAGAATATTTGGTAAGAAGAGCATTGATTAGCTAAGATGAGAAATTTTAATTGATCTGAAATCTGTGATGTGTTAATAACATCTCCCTTAGAGGTGTCATCATCCACTCCTCTTATTTCTGCTATTCATTAATATTTATAAACAAGTATGAATTTGAAATGTCTCAAGATATACTGGTAGGCCTAAGTCCAAACGGTTCCCTGCCCTGTCCCTGATCGTCATGCTGAAACCCGGGATTGAATTTTTGATTTTGGGTATTTCAAAATTATCTTCCACAATGATATTTTGTTATACAGAACTTATAATATACAATTTACAAATTGAATTTCAATTTAATTAAATGTACAAGCTGTAGAAATAAACAGATATCATTTCCGAGGACGTTAGGTCTTTTTTGTGGCTCTAAACTTGGAAAGAGTCAAGCTTTGTGCTATGTATGTCGAGCATGTTCAGGACGGAATTAAAAATTTGACCCGCCTACGTCTGAGCAATTTTACAATCTAGGCTACCACACACTCCTGACTTGCCCAAAATGCTGATCAGACTATTAAAGGTACTATGTCCCTTTTGCAGCCAACCTCAAATTCTGTAGAACTTTGCAGGAATTATGAATATGTCATGTATGTCCTACCTGTGAAATTTAAACGTTAGCAGTGTCCTAATATTCGAATTACGCAAGGAAACCCGTTTACTTGCTAGACTTCACTGTCGGACACTATTGAGTGACTGACTGGCTTTTTTTTCTTCTTTGGTAATAACATACATAAAATGAGCTGTAAAGGGTACATGAGCATTTGTCTACATCAATAACCCACTTCTTGTGATGGCCAAAATTAAACTGATTGAATCTTTGCCCAGCATAAAACGTATGACCATTCGGTACAATGGTCTGAAAATCAAGACTATTACTTATTGGCTCTATAGCTCCTAAGTCGATTTGACAACTAATAGTCATTATTTTCCCACTTGAAGACATTTTCAAGCCTCACCTTTTTTAGGGAAGTTCTAAATTAGCATTATCTTTCAAATGCAATTGAATTTTAACATTTTCATTTTTTTGGCCTGCAAATGGGACATAGTACATTTAACATTACAATACAATTTTATAAATAGGCATTAATTGTCAAAATATCCGCAAATAATGGCTTGCCCAAGATATTATGATAAAGGAAAAAAAATAAAAGCACCTCAAAAATTTGAAATTTTGCAAACAAAAGTTAAGAATTCAGTCACAGTCTTGCAAGACATATAGCAACCGCTACATGCAAGCAGTTTACTTTAATAGACTGCTCGACAAGATGAAAACATTAAAGGTACATACTTTTAAAATATACCAATAGATTTTGAAATGTTCCCACTTTTAAAAAAATCTACAAAGTTGTGTCATGTTACTGACCAAAGATTTCATGAAGCAAATTAATAGTAGTTTTATCTTCACCATGGCTTCAGTACCATCTCTTATTAATACATTTTAATTTCAGTTAAATATCAACAGCATTATTACATACTATAAAAAGAGAGGATTGGATGTGACATATGTCATGCTGGAATTGCCCTTAGGAAAAATGGATTGAAACTTACCAAGTAATCTGAGCTTGTTGAAATTTGAAAGGCCAGATTTATTCCTTTTAAAGTCCTTCTTTTGTGCTTCTCTTGATTGCTCAAGCTCATTTGCTTCCACTGTACTGAATTCAAGTGACTGGCTGAGAAGCAGGTGATTACCATTTTCATTTTCTGTGAAAGGAACACCTGCAGAAAATGAGCTTGCTGGATTTACTTCACAGTCTGACTGGGAAGAATTATCCAACAAATGTCCCGCTTCATTCGTTAGAATGTCTTCAATTTCATGATCAGAAAATGTGTCCTCCTCTCCTGACTCCACATCATGCACTCTAATAAGTTTTGGTATTGATATTTCACATAAAGTCCTGTCTGGAAAATTAGACATGGGTGCCATTTGGTTTGATGTCCTATTATTGTTATTTGATGGAGAGCTGTCTGTTACTGCCTTGATCCCATAATGAACATCTGTTTGCGTACAGTCTGTCATAAGTGTATGTGACTCCGGAGTAATACCTGTGTTTGCAGGCGGTTCCTTGTTCTCACTAGTGCAAAAGAGGGGATCAAATTCTGGAAGTGCATGCCAGGCTACAGGCTCCTGTTTAGTACTGTTATAAGTAGGTAATGGCTGCAGGATGTTTTGGATTTGCTCTTGTGCCCTTGGGGCAGCAGCAGCAGCAGCAGGAGCAGGCTGCTGTGAGTCAGCGTAGGATTTAGATTGTCTATAACTAGCAGGTGGGGGAGGGGTCCTGTAATTATCATGTTTGTGGGATAAACACTGTTGCTGCTGAGTAATCAATGAGGTGACACCACACTCTTGTGCTGGGTATATATCCTTTGTCATGCTTTCACAAGCTGGCATTCTATATCCTTCATGATTTGCTGGTTTCTTGTTTTGTTTTGGTGGCAACTGAGGCTGGTCATGGGGCAAACAATATTCCACATGTTCTGAACTAGGTTTGACTAGAGACCAAGTGTACCTTGCAGGCAAGGATGGCATCATGAAAATGTTTGAGGATTGCTCTCCTGTTGGAGGGGGAGGAGGTGCACATTTAGGTGGAGGGTAGCGCTGCTCACTTGTCGATGTGACAAAATCAAACTCACTGGCACTGCTAAAGCGCATGTCCTGACGGTCAAACTCTGATAGAGGTCTGTGGTAGCTTGTGATTGGATTCATGCTACTCTTTCTATCTGCCAACAAAGTCTGTGATGAGCTGCTTACAGGTCTCTTAGGATCATCCTTATCAATGGTATTAGCATTTTGATAAATGACTTGTGGTGTAGTAATGATTCCATACATGCCACATACATCTGGTTTACTTGTGAACCCATCTTCAAAAGAAGTAGCTGATGTTACGTTCAACTGATCACGTTGCTGTCTCACAGAGCTGGCTTCTGACAGGCTTTGCTTTGAGAATGGCATTGAAAAGGTTGGAGTTTCAACACATCCCTGGGTAACATGCATTAAAGAATCCATTTCAAATGCATCTTTTGGAGTTGGCAAAGTTGGAGATCTGCTGTGTGCTGATTTCCAGAAATCTACAACAACAAAAAAGAATTCACAGAGTAAATAAAATAGATGAAATAAGACATGGGGGGCACCTCTTCAACACTAACAGTAACATCAAAGAGAGAAGTAAACTTCTACACAATTTGTAGACTTAATGACTTTGTGACTTTTTTTTTTTAATGCTCATCTTCATACACACATTTTTCATGAATCCATAATAAATCTCTAAATAAAAGACAACTTTTTTTTGTAGGAAATAAGTAGAAACTGTTGGATAGTCATATACATGTAAGGCTGAATATGATGTCATTACCAGCGCTCAAATACACGGGGGCTGTGGGCGATTCGCCCCCGTGAGCTCCATAATCGCCCCCGTCAGGTTGCTCACGGGGGCGATTGCAAAATTTAAAATCACCCCCGTGGAATTATAAAATAAAGATTATCTTTTCTGATATAACTTTAAGACAATTTTGAGTATCAATTTTCAAACCGAAATGGAACTTAGATGGCGCTTTCTCTCCCATCTCTAACTTGTATGAGTATTACTGATACAAATAACGGAAGCTCGCAGTGCAGCAATTGCGGCCGTCAGCAGTGGCTATACTGCGCGGGTAGTACCGGTGTGTATGCTGATGCCCAATATCTGCTGGAGCTGGAGACGATCGCGCAAGGACTGAAACATGGAGAAGTTTTTCGTTGTGAAAAGTGTGAATCCTCTGAAATCTGGTGATTCTAAAAGACCATCAAATAATGTAACTCGACCAGTAAATCAATATTGAGAAGAAGAAGACCAAAGATGTTGCAGGGGCGGATCTAGGCAGTTTAGGGGGTTTAACCCCCCCCCCCCCCCCCTCCCCCTTTGGGCTGCCAAGTGAAAATGTGAAAATGCTATCATGTGTCCAGACCTACATAATATTAGTAGATGTCAGTAGATGCCAGGAAAACATCACTAACGGGGGTTCAAAAAAGCACCAAAAAATCGCCTCGCCGCTATGCGGCTCGTACATCGAAATTTGGTCCCCCCCCCTCACCCTTAGAAAAAAGCTAGATCCGCTTTTGTGTTTTGGAAGGATATGGTAAAGACTAAAAGTAAAGAAAGAATGTAAATAAGGTTGCTCAGAATAATGAGGAGGAAATTATGTGCAGAACGGGAAGAAGTGCAAAGAATGTTATCACAGGGATAAAAGTCAATAACAGCCAGCCCTGATAACAGCTATGTAACAAGTAAATTTCTAAGAGGGAAAATGCCGACTTAATAAATGATAATGATAAAATACCAAGAAGTTTCATGGGTACCAATTCAATGGAAATGTGTATTAACATAAGAGCCCGCGTCAGCACTAAAAGAGCCCCCGTGAGCCTTCTCACGGGGGCTCTTTTTTTTTGGAAGAGCCCCCGTGGACAAAACTTAATTTGAGCCCTGGTCATTACATGTACATACGTAGCCATACATTCCATACATGGCTTTCATTTTGTTTGCATTCATTCTAAAGCAACTAATTCAAGATAATGGCAATTATAACAAGTGGTACAAAGTTTGGTTACATTTCATAGTTTATATCTAAAACAATTTTTCATTGCAAATTCATGCATCTGTCAGTGGATACAATTCTAATGTGATTAAAATACACTGCATAATTTCAAATAAGGAATAAAATATGATCAAGTTATTTTGCGGACAAAAGTAATTAATCAACCCATTTCATCTTTCATATTAAGTTGTATGTCTTCACCATTTAGGCTCATTCAGATATGTAGCAGTAGTTTTTTTTTTGTTTTAAGCAGGTACTGTATTAAAATGGAGGACTCAAATTTGAATATAGAGTACATGAATATATTTTCTACATTATCAAAGTGGATAACATGAGTATTTATATCAAAGCAAAAAATGATATTAACAATTTTTTTAAAGGACACAAAAAGGGGAAAAAGTGACACAAAAATGTAAAAAATGAAATAAAATAAAATGAATTGAGTCCAAACATTTACAGCTACGTCTATGTACAGATACCTGCCAGTTATACCTATATTTAATGGAGATTAAATTGCTCATGTTATTTTGTAAACTCTTCATTCAGATCTTGTATCAATGCTAATGAATGTACATTGAAACAAGACAAGTGCAATTGCATCTCTTATATGCCTCTGCCTGCATTCTGTTAATTCTTTATTACCAATTTCTGTCTATGACCTACTTTACCCAAACCCTAATCAGATCGTCTTCCTTCGGTAATTCATCATCAAGGTTGAAGTACTAAACTCACTCAGTTCTTGAGATATTGCAATAACAAGACTAAAACCTGAAATTTCATAAATTAATCTCTATGACTTTTGACCTTCCCCCTATTTACGCCAAAATCTACTCTGATCATGTTCCTATAGTGATACATACAATCACCAGATGGTTCTTCAGATATCAAAATCTAATCTGATCATGTTCTATAGTGATACATACAATCACCAAATGGTTCTTCAGATATTGTTGTAATGAGGAAGCATGATGAATGTGGGCGGAGGCATGACGACACATTTTATTACACCTTATTTTTAAAATCTCCTCATCAATAATGGGGTAATACCTTCCTCAAGCAGTGCCAGAGATTGAATTTCCCGTAAGTTCCTCGCAGCCATAACAGCTTTTGGAAGAGCCAATCGGCATGGCAATCCAATCTGAGTTTGAATGTGGTATGCTATAAGGTTATCCAATGCGGGGAACACCATGTCTTCAATCAACAACTTTACCCCTGCAATGACAAATATAATCAAAAGATAATCAAGAGATATATTAGGCAATACATTAGACTGTATGCCAGATTGATGCTATCACCCAAACCTGTCTTCGTAAAGTTTCAATGTGATGCAAACTTATAGAGGTTAACACAGTTTGCATCAACTTGTGCTAACTTCTAGTTTCCATTAAACAACTTCACCTAAATATAGTAATACACATATTTATGTATATATCTTTTGTACATTTAATAGTATGCAGGTGTATGTCTAAATATCGTTTTAAAACCTTTACTGTTCAATCGATATTACTCTTATGTTATGTATACATGTATCAGTATTATTTTTTGCATTGTATGGTTGTTCATATGTACTGTCATTATTGTGATGTGTTGTTGTTAAATTCAAATTCAAATTCAAACTCAAAACACTGTTGGCATTTCTACATGTATGCTAAATCTTGTTTTTCATCTCTACTGGTAATGTGTAGAGCATTCCACAGTTTAGGAATGGCTATCTAGACATAAAATAAGTGTAAATGTAGGATTACCTTGTAATGTGCTCTCGATGGGGTAACTCTCAATATATGGACCTTTCCCTGTACCAGGATGCTTCAATGTCAGAGAGAGTTTATCCTTCTGCCTGGCCTGCCGCACCACAAACGTCTGCAAACAAAAGAAATTATATTACAAGCTTTGCTTCACTATGAACAGATTATTAACAACAGAACATCAAAGCTGCCAACCTTGTGCCACCCAAAAAAGGAACTAAGATGGCAAAAAAGGGAATTTCAAGCAACAAAAAAAGGAATTCATTTAGACGAAACTTACAACCACGCGTGACACACTTCCAATGCAGAAATGTCCATTCCTCATGCTGTTTCCATATCAGGACCTTTAGTTTATATACAAGTTCATTTCATTTCATTTTATTTCATTTCATTTCATTTCTTTTCATTTTTATTTTTTCATTTCCAACAAAATACAATACATAATAACGAATACAATGTAAAATGTATACAAAACATCTTAATCTTAATAGTATTTGGAATTTTTGAGGAAGACAAAAATTGAATTTTTAAATTTAACTGCATATATATTTTGAGGAAATGGAGAGGTCCACTGAAAAACAGAGCTTGTAAATTGTGGACCCCTCAGATAATAATGAGTGTGAAAAAATATGGAATACATAATCAATGAAAGAAGAATAGCGGCCAACAGAGACAATATTTATTAATACACGTAATGACTGTAAACAAGAAGACGTCACAAATTACATGACGAAGAAAGAACAGAAAAAAGAAGAAGAAAAAAAATGTGGGCTGCGTTTGGAGGGAAGGAGAGAAGAGAAAAGGAAAATTGTAGAGGTCGAGCACAAAATAGGGAGCGCACAAAATCCTTGAGATAGCTGAAACAAAAAGAGCAAGAACATGATGGCAAGTAGTTTTGTTTTTTAGAGATGGACAGAAGAAAAGAGGGAAAGAAAAAAAATTGGGAAGGAGATGTTCTATCACAATAAATTTCTAAATATTATAAATTTCTAAATATTAAAAGATTGTAATAAGGAAAATTTTAACTTTTTTTTTAAAGCAATTAGTGAAGGGGAAGTTTTCAAATCGTTATGCAGATTATTCCAAAATTTAGGCCTTCAAAAATGAACGTGTTTTGTGCAGAACATGTTCTCAAAAGAGGTAAGTGAAACTCATCAGATTGTCGAGTGGGGTATCTATGAACAGCATGGTTTATATGAAACATATCATTAAACACAGAGGGCAGTATACCACTATTGTAATTAAACATAAATTGACCGAGCTGAAATAAGTACAAATCCTTAATTTTTAAGATGTTATTTTCAAAAAACAGAGGATCAGTATGAAAGCGTATGGGGCATTACAGCTAATACGACTCGTTCCAACAATGTATGATGTGTATTGCCCCAAACTAGAAGACTGTAATTCAAATACGGCAAGATCAATGAAGAATACAGCATAAATAATGATGATTGTGGTAAGTACAATTTTAGTCTATTAATAACACCAATATTGCGCGAAATGATTTTACAGATATTATCAATGTGTGGTTTCCCAGAAAGTTTATCATCGACTGTTATACCCAAGAATTTGGTAAGAGGGACATGTTTCAATGGGGTATTGTCAAAAATAATGTCAGAGGGTAATGAATCCAAGGAGTTACTAAATAGCATGTACATTGCAATATATTTAAGTAAGTATTTGTTTTCCGTTATTTTGGTATTATCTATTCTTTTTGAGAATATTTTTGTCTTCTAGTTTGTTTTAACCTTAGTTTTATATTGAATTTGTGATCAAATCAACATTTTAGGGCAGTTGTTTGACATGCGGTGTGTAAAAAATAAAATAAAAATTGAAAATTGAAAATTGAAAAATTTTAAATTTTAAATTTTAAAATTTAAAATTTAAAATTTAAAAATTTGAAAATTAAAAAAAATGTATTTTATGAAGAAAAAAAGTACTACCGTAATTTGGAGGAAAAAACAGATTAATTCCGGAAAAAACATAATGGTCGGCAGCTCTGGAACATGAATAAACCACACAGAGAGTATGATTAGTTTTTGAAACACAGAGTTTGGACTTTGTAGTCCCCATGCCTATTTCATATCTCAATATTCTACTTTCTAGTTACACTATTGTTTAAAGGAGTCTGTTGAGTAAGAGAAGGATTGGTCCGTTATATGGTGGATGAGTTTACATTTAGTGAATTTCTTTCTTATGAGAAAGCTGTAAAGTTCTGCCATTTAATGCAGGCTTACCAACTATCAACTCACAATTGGGAATCACATTATGTTAGTTACATTATGTTACTAAGGGGAGAAGTATGATTTAAGAAATCTTTTGAAAGAGGCAAGACAGATTAATTCTCTGAAGGAAAGTGGGATATTGTTCCTTATTTTTGAGGCAGCCCATGTAAAACATTTTGGGTAGATGACAGTCTCGTTTCGGGTATAATTTGTCAATTATGAAGACACCCAAGCAGGCTTTAAAAAGAATGTGTTTTATAGACTGAGGTAACCAGCGGAGTTCCTTAATCAAGGAAGAAGTATGGGTCTGAGATCCAAGGCAAATGACTAATCTAGCGGCTTGATTTTGGTCAAGTTTCCTTCTATCTTTTGCAGACAATACAGTATAAAACTTGGATAGAATTAAGGCATGAACAGCATGGTGACAAATCTCAATGTCAATAATATATAACTCTTCCATAAATTCCAGAGATGATAATTACATTTACAAACTACATTGTTTACATGTTTTATAAAACGATTATCAATGGCCCTTTGTTAAGTTCCCCCTTCTCATACCCATCCTCTCAACACGTGCGCCTACTCCAGCAGCCTAGCGATCTGTAAGTTCTGGTAAAAAGTCTCAGTGCATCCGGCATTAATTTGCATTTTCTAATGCATGTGCAGAGTTCCCTTCTTATTTTTCTGCTCCTGAATCACACAAAACCTTTTTACCAGAACTTGCAAATCGTTAGGCCGCTGGAGCAGGCGTTGCATGGGAGGCAGGCATCTATAGGCCTGCAAATCGCTAGGCCGCTGGAGCAGGCGTTAGGAGGCAGGCATCTATAGGCCTGCTTCGATTGTAAAGCTTGCCGTGTCCCTCGACACATATTTTGAGATATAACAAATTATATTGCATTTGTTTTCATATTTTTTAGATTGAATTTTTCAATCCAGATGAGGCTTGATCTATTTTTACACGTTTAATGTCCAGTTTCTATCCAATTCATCAATGTAGATTTCTATATCCAGTTACTATCCCATTCACCAAAGTATATTTATGATATATCCAGTTACTATCCTATTCACCAAAGCATATTTATGATACATCCAGTTACTATCCAATTCACCAAAGCATATTTATGATACATCCAGTTACTATCCCATTCACCAAAGTATATTTATGATATATCCAGTTACTATCCCATTCACCAAAGTATATTTATGATATATCCAGTTACTATCCCATTCACCAAAGTATATTTATGATATATCCAGTTACTATCCCATTCACCAAAGTATATTTATGATATATCCAGTTACTATCCCATTCACCAAAGTATATTTATGATATATCCAGTTACTATCCCATTCACCAAAGTATATTTATGATATATCCAGTTACTATCCCATTCACCAAAGTATATTTATGATATATCCAGTTTATCCATTCCTAGTTTTGTTTGCTTCATCCAGCAGCAATTCTGTGTGAGCCTTGGTCAGTGACTCATATTTGAATGGATCTGATATAGAATTAGGTGTCGACTACAGTGGTTTGAGACATTAATTACAATGTCAAAAGTTATCAATACTACGGTATGTTGTAAGATGTAGACTTCTAAAGTTAATAATTCCTTTTGTAAACAAAACCAGGACATTGGACCCCTAGACATTGGCAGTCTATGGATATCATATTGGATGTATGAATGTATGTTGACTTCAATGTTCAAATTTACCGATCATCATTTTGTCGACAGGTCAAATATTTGACCTGACTACAGCACTGGAATGCAAAGTAAATGTATGACGTCACCCGCACAGAGTGACAGTTTGTTTTGTGTGAGTAAAGTTTGCCCTGAGTACAGCTGTAATTAAGCTGAAATTTTGTGAATTGAATCACAGTCATAAAAAGGGCTCTTAATGCAAGCATGCATCTGCCAAAGTTTCTGTACATTTTGAAATGATTTAGAGTTGTGGTTAATCCAGGGGCAATCAATTCTAAAAATGTCAATACATTTTCTGTCAAATGTTTCAGCTCGACTGCCATCGCTACCCTGCTACCCCTGACAGTGTGGCCCGGCCAGACTCTGAAAATTCTATACCTGTATCTATGATCCAAGCTAGATCTTGGGTCATTAAAGACCTACCATGCAGCAATTTTTCTTTTCACTTTTCCCCTTACCAAGCTTATTCTTTTTTTTAAAGGAAGATGACACTTATAATAATATAATAACAAAAAGATAAAAAATTTGACCCTCACAGTTAGGGCCTAGTAAAATCTACATCCCAATTTTTGTTGAAATTGCAAACGGCCAACTTTCCATTGCCTTTTTAAGGGTGCGTTTATGCGATATGCTCAACCAGAATGAGGCTTTTCTTACGCCTTTAGTTCAAAACACGGGTGAGTAATACCCCTGGGTATTACTCACCCCAAAAAAAAATAATATGGAAAGGAAAATTACAAAAAGCATTTAATGTAATTTGTACTGTATCTCCACTGTGAATGGACAATCAGCATATACATGTAGAATGAAGGATAGGAGCATGAATGATGAAACCACAGCATATTAAAGCAACTGGAGTCATCCAGGTACTTCAGATGAATTAAAACTGAAGGACAATAGACAGGGGGTGGGGGTACTTTTGAAAATTGAATGTAAGGTACTCACTGCGACAGGTTGACTCTGCAGATAATGGGCTGCTGCTGCCCTTTGTGTAGAGGGTAGAAACCAAATTGGTTTAGTGTGAACCAGGCGGGTCATCATAGTGAGGGTACTATCAGGCAGGGAGGAGTGGCTAAGAGAAGCATTACATCCTGTTCTATCAGGAGTTGAACTGTCTAAACTTTGTAGTTGAATTAATGACTCCGGAGCACTTAGGGTGGAGGTATGCTTACTGCTCATGGATGGCAGCCCAGTTGAATCACACTATAATAAAAGAAATCAATCATCAATTAAATCCGTCTCAGATTACCAAAGTTCCTCATAGAGGGATATGATAATTGTATAGCAATACGATAAGTAATTACAATTTTGTAGTCTGAACCTTATATAATGAAACTTTGTGTAATAAAATGGCTGTTTGGGAATGGTTTTGAATGATAACAGCATAAAGATCCAGCATCCAGCTCTAGTGTTAACATCGGATTGTACTTTGTATAACTGGGCGGGGCTTAGCATGACCGTGTACTCATCACTGACAAGCTGTCCTCTGACCTTGTCAAAACCACTTTCTGTATGTAAAACATTTCCTTAAAATATTTTGATATCTAGTCAATATGCTCCTCTCGCTCGCTGTACGATGATTATTTATACAATGTTCTTTAAATGAGTTTCGTATAAACTTCTTTAAGTCTGAATAGGCTATTAAAGGGCATTAAATTTCTCAAGAGCAAGTTCCACTGAAGAAAGAAGAGAAATCCAACTCAATCAAATCTATAAATTGGCAGAGTGCTCACATACATGTAAGACACTGGTGAAATACCGTTGTATACAGTGCACATCAACACCATACTGTTTAGTTGCCTAATTTTAGGAGCTTCTCATGGAAAAAGATAACCTACATGTATGTGACCTTGAAATTTATTTCACGGGAAAAGAGTAACTTACATTTATATTATATCTTATTGATGAGGAACATCCAAGATTTATTTATCCTACCTCGTGGTAATTTCCTTAGAAAATCTCAAGATTACTTTTACAGAATTACCAGTAGTGCATTATAATAACCATGACTGCAAAAAATACAATGCCACAACTGCCTCTGAGGTGTACTGGGGTAGGTTAAAACCTAATCTCAGGAACAGTTTACAGAACATGAATTTAAACCGATAAAAATATATATCAAGAACTATTAAACACTTTTGATATTTAAAAAAATGTACAGAAGGTAAATTGTCAGAGATAAAAGGGTCATTCCATCGGGTTGGGTCAAAACAGCATTTTCACGTGTTTGAATGTTGAGAAGCTTTTATTGAAATTCAAATGTTATTTTAGAAAGTTAAAAGTATGTTTTATTTAAGAGTAATGTATGATAGAATAAATAAACATTAAAACAGAAACTTGTTCATCATGTGTTTTTTTTGTAAAAGGTTTACTACTGATGTCTCAGCGATTTTGAGGGTAAAAGTTGTGACATCAAAACATGTCATTTTCATGAAGTTATTTCTGAAAAAAATACATCATTCTGCAAAGTTTTCTATTTAAAACATGTAACCTTTAATACCTGTACCATGTCTAAGAACCTCAAGTGAAATGAGTTAAGAATCGGCAAGTTAGCCCATATTGAAAAAACACAAAACTGACGTTACAAACAATGTCCTAGGCACTTTTTTTTGTAACGTCTGTAATTCTTACATTTTCCACAAATTTAGCAGCATATTTTCTCAGAAAGTTTCATGTTATTAGAAAGGTACAACCCCTCATATGTAGAACGATTAACGATTAAATCGGTCTGTAAATAGAGGTGTTGTGGACTAGAGGATAAGTCACCCGACGGCAGATCACAAGGTACGGGGTTCAAGTCCCACCACAGCACTAGAAAGGTACAACCCCTCATATGTAGAACGATTAACGATTAAATCGGTCTGTTAATAGAGGTGTTGTGGACTAGTGGATAAGTCACCCGACGGCAGATCACAAGATATGGGGTTCAAGTCCCACCGCGGCACTATTGTCCTTTGGCAAGACATTAATCTACATTTGCCACTCTCCACCCAGGTGTAAATGGAGTACCTGATAGGGCTTGAGCGCTACATGTAGTTACTTTGGCAGCTCCTCTACTACCAGGGTAATATGTGTAAAGCGCCATAAGCGTCAGAGCATGACGGATACCTGTGCTATATAAATACTTTATTATTATACAAGAAGAAAATAATTAAATTACCACAAAAATCGGGCGCGATGTCCATCGTAATTTATTAACGTAGGTATGAAATTATGGTGTTTGAGATCCAAACCAGCCCCCTAGCTTCAGTTTTTGTGTTTAAATGACCTGCTAGTGACCTGCTCGAATGCGCGGACATTTTTTTTGCCGGAGTGCGACGACCTACCCCTACACTGCAATCACAAACGTGACAATTTCCATGTATAAGCGTTGGGAGGCCATTTTGGCCAGTCAGCGCCCAAATTGGTAGGTATTATGTTTATTTAGTCTTTTTTCTGTCTCAAATTTTTATCATGGACAATGAAATTTCATTTTTTTTTTAAGGTAATTCCGTTTAAAATTGTGTTATTTATAACTTATAACCACTAAATGTGAGTGAAAATGTTACTGTTGTCCCTCATAACAATATATTTGTTATAACAAAACATGAAAAATCAATGCCAGACTTTTTCCCTCATGAAGCTAGTTTCTTTGACAGAAATTGAATTTTTTTATAAGAATCCCGTAAATAAAGATATAAATGATGTGCCTATACCTCAGAATTTTTCTTACAACTGTTCAATTATTTAATACTATTTATATGTCATTAATTGCCATTGAACAATGATGGCTATAAGCCTATAAGGAAAAACACAAGTTATTGAATATTGTTTCCTTCCAGTTAGGAAGTTCAATCTAAGGCCAACTTTGGGGCAAAAAAGGGGGTTGGGGTTGAGATAGAGAAGGATGGAGAGAGCTAAAGGGGGAGGGCATACGCCCCCCCCCCCCCCTCCCCGATTCAATTAGATTTGGATACATAATGTAATGAGCCTTTTATTTTTTGTATAAAATAATTATTGATGTTTGGCATGTGGCTCCCACTCCCCCTCCTCCAAAGGGTTAAGAGAGGGATAAGGGGTTTCAACACCTACATAATACCTCCCCCTCCAAAAAATAAGAAGAACAACAAAAAGAATGTTAAATAACAAAAATCATTTTAAAAAAGAAATTAATAAAATTCAACAAAATGAAAACCCAATATTTTGCTCCGAAATCTACTTCTCTTTGGGCATGCAACAAGCCAACAGTGAGGATGATACCTCCCTATCCATCTTGCAATCCTCTGTGTAGTTTTGTTCCATCCTTCTTACGATGTGATTTTACAACAGATCTAGATAGAAGTACTTATGATAATTAAACGGAACACACATTTTGAAATGAAAAGTCACAGAAGCAATTTACAGTTTTGTTTTATTTTTATCTCATTTAATATTCTTTCCTCATTTCTTTTTATTTATTAATTTTAATGCACATTTATTAGATTGCTGCATCCATTTCATTCATGGCTCCTCTACCTCCCCTGAGGATTCAGCTCTGGCAGAGAGAGAGAGAGAGCAGGTAAAATGACAAGTTATCAAAACCTTCCTGGAAAACAAAGATCTTTCCAATCTAGTCACTATTTTGAAGAAGATATAAAGTTAGTCATTAAAGGGATAGTTGAGTTCTGTTTTCAGACCCCAAATACCTTCAGAGTGCATGGTTATTACTCTTATTCTTATCTATGACATTTATAGTGCCCTTTTAGAACCTAAAATTGCTATGAAGGTAATTTTAGACCCCAAAATGTGTGAAATTTAGCCAATACAATCATACAATTCAGCTCCACTTTCAAAAAAACATGGTGACCATTATTTAATTTTTTAATTAAAAATAACAATACATGGGCCGGTTAATTGTGGGTAATATAGGCAACACAAAAATGCCACCAAAAAAGTCAACATTGGCATTGGCTGAAATACGACGGAAAAGGCGTTATATTTCAGCCATCTCTGAACCGAATTTGATCAAACAAAGATGATTTTGTCATTTACATGTAAATATTATGTTCTTTCAATTTGACACTCAGTTTGTCATTATCTCACAAAACAATTATTTTGTGTAGCGCCCTCTACAACAGAACTCAACTATCCCTTTAATATCTATCATTATTCCTCTTGTATGAATATTTTTTTTTATTTTTTTTTTTTTACTGATGAATAGATGAAATATATTTCAGATGACATTTGATGTAGTCTGTCATGTTTCAATGAGTATAAGATGATAGTTACTCTGATAACATACCAATGTTACTCAGACATGTAACATTGGTAACTTAAGGTGTTGAGGTGAATATGGACCATAAATCTTGCAGGTTTCCTTTCATCTGTGTCATCATCTCATTAAACATGTTTCATGCATCAATTAATTGGTAAAATTTCTTAGAATGCAGCCAAGATGTTCTATGCAAGAAAAAAATTTCCCTTTAGAAAAAACCATGATCTGAAAATTGCTAGTTGCTCATTTGTTTCATGTTTATAAATTGACATAATGTTGCTGAGTTCAAGTTTTAAGTATTCTGAACTATTGCTCCCATCATCTTAATGTTTTCCACACACAAAAAGTGGAGTACAGACTTTGAAAAAGTTTCTGATCAGAAAATAAATGAGCAAGTAAAAAAAGATGTCCATGTAACATTGGTATTTTGCTGTGTCCGTTTTTTTTCTTCATTTTAATTAAAGTGTGCAAAGGAATACACACAATTGTAATGGAATCTATTGTAGAATTGGTGTTAGAAACAGGATATAACAATAACAAAACTATTTACCAACTCTGAATTTTGCACCTTCATGTCACAATTTATGACCCAACCTGATGGAATGACCCAAACATGTCAGAGGTAAAAAGGTCTGAGGTAAAAAAAATTTAAAAAAATAAAAAAAAAGGACAGAGGTAAAGGCTTAAGAGGTAAAAATGTTAAATCACAAATTGTTCTATACTTACCTAAAGATACATTCCAATCAAATACAAGGAGATAATTTGTTGTACTACAGTATTGTGTCAATCATCCAGCTTATATATGAGTTGTTTTTTTCTTGGGGGGGGGGGGGGACTGGGAAATATCAAAGGACTAGACCTCATCCAACAATCAAAATGCACCTTTGATTTTTGACCTCTCCACCTAAAATATAATCATTTAATCCTGGCATGCTCACACATACTTCAACCAAGTTTGGTTTGAATTGGTTCAATACTTTTCAAGTATAAATCATGATAACCGGGCATGGTGGCTCAATGGTTAGAGCGTCCGCCTCATGAACGGGAGGTCGTGGGTTCGATCCCCGGCCGAGTCATACCAAAGACTTATAACAATGGGACCTTCTGCCTTCTAGCTAGGCGCTCAGCATATTAGATTGGAGAAGGGTAATAGTAACATGTTATGTTATGCAGGGCCCGCTGGGAGAGCAGTTTCACAACTGAAGTGGCTACCCTGGGTAAATAAAACGTTATTATTATTATTAGTAGTAACAAAGTATTTTCTGGTAATTTTCAACACTTTTATGACACTGTGACATTTGACCTTTTCCACTCAAAATCTAATCAGTTCATCTTGCATGCTCATACATACTCTGTTTCCTGGTTATGAAGATATCACGGTAACTAAAGCAGGACATATAGATGGATGGACAATCCAAAAAGGTAATGCTTCCAGCACTACCTTTGGTGACAGAGACATAAAGCATCTTGACGTATTACTACAATATGTGTGCAAGTGAAGTTTAGCGAGTCGCCAAATCTGTATTAAAACTTTCTGGTTTGTACAAAATGTGTGAAAGAGTGAAGTCAATTCAACTTGTGACACCTCAAACTAGTTATATTAGTTAGAAATGACATGGTTGGATCAACTTGGGGCCATACCTCTGGAGTGGATACCTTTCATATACAATACTTAGTGTTTCTATGTGTTTTTGATAACAGGGTCACTAAGAAAAGATCCAAAGAAAGCTCACCTCATCTGTGTCTGAGAATGAGAATGCCTTGCTGCTTCTGAGTAAGCTCCTACAAAAGAACAAAAAAAAAGTTGTTCATGGTCAAATAGAATAAAGGTCTTCATAATGCTATAACTTAATAAATGAAAAGTTGATAACATTCACCTCACCTGCAAGTTTGTATCGATGTTGGCATTCGATTTGTCCCTCACATGTATAGAACATCATGAAAATATATTTAATAAGATAAATGCGACTTCATCTCAATTAAATGACTTTGCCAAAATCTGTTAAGATCATGGCTGAATTATACTTGGAATATAATGATGAGAACAAAACGTCTATACTTCAATAGATCTTCATTACTTTCGACCTTTGACCTAACAATTCCCAAATCTGATTGCTGGTCTCCCTACAGTGGTTGAAGGCTTTGAGTTCACAGCAAAAATGGCTTAAAATAGCTACTGATTTGGTGATAAGATTTAAAAACCTTTAATTTCATATAATACATGGACTCCATGAGCTTCGCCCTTTAACCTTCTTAACCTGAAATCTAGTTTCTCACACTACCAAGGTGAGGTATACTACAACCAAGTTTGAAGTTCTTGGCTTAAATCATTCTTGAGACATTGCTACAACGGGGCTAAAACCCTGCTATTTAATGTAAAAAGACCTATATGACCCCTGACGTATGACCTACTTCTAATCTCAGCTAAGCTTCCACTTAATAGATGAAGTAGTTCTTGAGAAATCCCAATAAAAGAGTTAAAATCCTGATATTTCATGGAAATAGACCTGTATGACCTCTGACCTACTTTCTACAAAACCTACCCGTCACCACCTTTGGTGGGTGGAGTACAATTTTTAGACAAAACTAATAAGTGCATGGTCTGTGCTGGAAGAACAGTCTGGGAACTAATTACCTGTCTTTGGCTTCAAAAGACACATGAGAAGTACTAAGTGGTGACCTGGGAGACGTTGGGATAAAAGACTCCTTCTTCTTTAGATCGTTCAGCATTATATCCAATTCAGTAGAGATACTAGAAAGCATCTACAGGTAGAATAAAGAACATAAACAAGTGTGTGAGTGAACTCTGCAATGCATAATCTATGATGTCTCTGCAAGAGTGACCAATTGTTACAAAATAAAGATGAATTAATAAAAGCATTTCTTGTGATATTGAATGAATTTATAAGAACTGGCAGAATAGTATGTATTATATACCTCACTTAAGAAATCCAGCCATCTGATTGGTCGAAATTGCATTCATAAACTTTAACTATTCCTGTAAAATTCCCGGTAAAATTCCAAACCCATGTAATAGTTCCAAAAAATAGTTCTAAAATCCCAGTAACCATGGTTACTGGGAAAATAGTTCAGTCTCGGTAAAATACCCATAGGTTTACATGTTAAAAAATGGTTCAAGCGATTGCGATACCGTACGTGTGCGAAGAATTGGTCGGTATTTTCATACAAGACAAGACAATTCCAAACAAGACAAAAATGCCTAAAGAAACTCTCCCAAGATTTCAACTTATCAAATGCAAGACTTGCTGACAGCAAGAACAACAAAAAGGGTACGTGAAATTATCCATAAACATGTTCGTTTAGTTGCTGAAAATGGAGTACCAGCATAGACGTAGACGAAAATAGATCTAGGGTCTAGTAGTCAGGGTGTCTGATCGCGCATCCGATGTTGTGTGCTGAAATTCTTCCCATAGAGATTGCGCGCAATGCAGTCTCTATGCAGTCTACGTGCATTGCGCGACCATGCAAAAAAAGTCAAGTTTTTTTTTCAATACGAGATTCAAACCTTTATCTGTTGTGATCCTGAAGGTGAAACTCAATAAGTGAGGTGTCATATGAAAGCGCAGGTTTTACTCCATATTTCCCACAGGGCCGGCCCACCCCCAAAATTGTAAAAATATCTTGGTTAGACTAGAATCTAGATCTAGTCTACTCTCAAAGATACACTCATAAAAAACAACTGTGCAGATAAACTAGAGAAAGGCGCACCCGATTTTGTGTGCTGAAATTCTTCCCATAGAGATTGCACGCAATGCAGTCTCTATGCAGTCTACGTGCATTGCGCGACCATGCAAAAAAAGTCAAGTTTTTTTTTTCAATTTGAGATTCAAACCTTTATCTGTTGTGATCCTGAAGGTGATACTCAATAAGTGAGGTGTCATATGAAAGCGCAGGCTTTTCTCCATATTTCCCACAGGGCCGGCCCACCCCCAAAATTGTAAAAATATCTTGGTTAGACTAGAATCTAGATCTAGTCTACTCTCAGAGATACACTCATAAAAAACAACCGTGCAGATAAACTAGAGAAAGGCCAAGGTGGTGTCATTATATAGTTGACTCTTTTGTTTTCGGCATATAAAAGTATTAATGACTGCTTTAATATTCGAGAAATAGTTGTTTCTCTCAAAGCAGTTATTAATACTATACTGTACATATTAAGGTGTGGAAGTTTTGAAGCCTCAAACCCTTCCCACAAACTGTCAAAGTAAAATGTGACTCTATCGAGCATTTATCACAGAGAAATGAGAATACTCTTGCCATGCTGAAACTGTATGTCCTTTTATTTCTGGGCATGGACACACCGCTATCAATGCTTTTCCTTATTATTGGAAGGAGCTACCTAGATACATCACTTGACTGTGGATCACATATACCGCCGCAGCACTCATGTTCTTTGGCGAGACGTTTATCTACATTTGAAACTCTCCACCCTCGTGTTAAATGAGTACCTGGTAGGGAATGTTAATGTGGGTGGACTGGCATAAGAGCGCTGGTTAATGATGCCTGGCCGGAATACTCACCAGGGAGCGGAGCATGTGCACCATCATGTGCGGATTAGCAATCGAGTACAATGAAAGGGATAATAATAATTACAATGTAAAGTTCTTAGAAAGGGAGTGTTAAGCGCTCTTTAGTGCTTAAGTCACATACAAATGTGACTATGATCATATTTATGTACATATCTCCTATACTTGTGAATAATGGTCTGCCTAAAGGAATGCCTTGTTGGATCCCTCTGTACATGTACTAGCTTCCTCTGTTGTTTTAAACTCTTCTTCTCTTTTTACTTTTCTTGAAAAAAAATTGCAAATGGATGTACACCGTGGTAATTTGGTTCCGCCGGAATCCATTGGATATTTACCAGCCAATTCAAAATGCATCTCTACAACACCCCCTAGGCTAAATTTACTCTTCTGGTCTGCTTTTGCAGCAAATTAAACTTCTGCAAATCATATTCCCAACAAAGTGCTCGCAGTTGCCAACATGAGAACCTTTATGTAAAAATAAAGCTGCCTGACAAAAACAATGTGTCTGATACAGAGAGTTTTGAGAGTGGTGACTAGCTATACTATACTATGCTATGCATGGACACATAAACAGCAGGCATGACAGTCACATACCAGTAGGCTAAAAAAATACAGACATCACTAACTGGGGGGTTAAAGCTCAAGTCCACTCAAAAAATAAATTACTTTCAATAGAACCAGAAAAATCAGACAAACCAATCAAAAAAGGTTTGAACAAAATCGGATAACTAATAAGAAAGTTATGAATTTTTAATGACATAAACAACTTTGAAAATCACTACACAAATTGGCAACTCACTCATGAGTCTGTGACGTATGGTCCTCACTATGCACTTATTATTTTCTTTATATTGATAATGTAAATTTCCTATTTTCACCCTAAGAATCCTCTTTCTTCACACCAGCATCCAAGTCACATTGTTAGTAATATTTTTTATGTGTGGATGCACAAATAAAGAGTAATTTATGTCCAGTTAAATCATGAAGAATTGAATTTTGATAAACTATTTATATAAAAATCAATAATTATGAAATACAATATTCAGAAATTAGTATCAATTCTTCAAAATTCATAAAAGTTTTTGTGAAATGTCATGCACGCAATATGATACAAATGATATAACCTGGGCAAAGGCATGGGGAAATCGGGAAAAGGGAAATTAATGGGATTAAACTATATAAAGCAATTGATAAGTTGTGAGGACATGACGTCACAAACTGATAACCATCTTGGCAAATTGTGTTGTGATTCTCATTGTTCCATAGTTTTACATACTTTTTCAAAAATTCATAGCTTCCTTATTAGTTATCCGATTTTGCTCAAACTTTTTTTGATTGGTTTGTCTGATTTTCCTGCTTTTATTGAAAGTAAGTTATTTTTCGAGTGGACTTGCCCTTTAAGGGTGGCTCCTAGGCCCCCTGGCAGGGTTAAGGGACAGAGCCCCTGGCTGGGGGGGAGGGGGAGGGGGAGGGGGAGGGGGGCAATGGCTCAATCCTGAAGCTCCTCCTTTCTATTAGTACACACAGTAGATCTAGAATAAATGAATCAACAAACATCTCTCTGAAAAAAAAGGCTCTGATAGATGTACTGTACACAGAAAATATTATCTGGTATGGGGGAATTCTTTAATAAAACTGACGTTTGTCAACCTTCCCCACAAACATGGTAACCCTTTACCCTTGAAACACTTACAATGGGGGGGAGGGGGGGTTAACTAGCTACTTTTCGCTACAATCTGGAAAAAAGTTAATTATGATAATTATAACAATAACAATATAAAAGAATCATAATAATAACAACATGCCTTGTTTACCAAGGGATGTCACATCAGTATCATTTGACATCATTTCAAAGAGATTATATATTAATAGTATAACCAAATGAAACCCATGAAGTTATTGAAAATAAAATTAAAAAACCTTTTAAAGTATAATTGATGGAATTTAGTCAGATTGCTATTTCACTTTGTACAATTTCAATGGTACATTTATGAGTGTTTCCCAGGTATTTCCAGGGAAAACGCCAACCCTGAATCTAAGGTGTAGGTGTACGTGGCTACGACACCTAAATCAGAAGTCCAATTTTAAAATGGAAAAAAAAGGGTCTGTCATAAAGTTAGTTATAAAACTAAAAAACATTGGTAATGTTTATTTTAAACATGTATGTTTCTCTAGCTGACATCAATAACAAAAATCTATGTCATTTTATTAGCAGAAATTCTGAGCCAAGGTCAGATAGGATCTGGAATGTATCGGCAAATGGACGATTTCAGTCAATATTTTTCCGGGAAACGAATAGCCTGAGACACCGGCCACAGTGCGACGCGTGATTTTTCTATGTCTTAAGCATAAGTCAAAAATTGTATACATTGTACGTCAACAGGGCATACTGTACATGTACATGTAAGTTAGTCCCTTCAAGATCTAATTATGCGAAGTTGACTGTAAATCTTATACTTCATTAATTACCAGTGAAAGTTTATGTAAATTTCAGTAGAAAGCAAATCCATGCTCAAAAGGTATGACAGTTTTGGTTTGATCTATTAAAACTTTAAAGTTGATTACTTTCTTATTTGTTATTATTATTATTATGTAGAGACTGATAACAGCATACAGTACATGTACCCGCTATCCACTACAGTATGTAAAATGTAAATATGAGAGGATGGGTAAGATACATCATTCATTCATTGATCTGCAGAAAAAATGTGCAGATTGCATGATACATACATCTTGGATAGATTGCATCCGTTTCATGGCATAGGAGTCATCATCAGGCCACTTAGACAAGCCTGCTGACGGGTTCATCTTGCTTGTTAGAGACATGGTAGCCTGGTGGTATACAGGACTCTCTTCACAACGAATCTGAGAACAATCCCTGCTTCACAAGCTTGGTGAACTGCAGCCTAGCTTTCACATAATGTGGATGCTTGCCTCTGTCTTATCACAAAAGGCTACCAACAGGAAAGACGTCAATATTGCTAAAAGTAAAACTCTCCTCTGTTCTATTACAATGTCAAGAGAGTCTTGTCAACACAATCCCCTCTAGATCAGATTGAAAATGTTTGAGTATCAATTGACCTTCATGTGATGTGTTATTTAGAGCTGATCCATGTACGTGCCACAAACAATGCATAATGTATTAAAGGTATAGAGATTGTACATGTACGTAGTAGAACTCTAAGCTGTTGATATTGTGGAGTAATGCTGGATAACCCAAACATGATGCTGCACGTACAAGCTTTTCTTTATTCCTATAAAGACCTTGCAGGTTTTATGAGACTGTTTTCAATACTGTAAATTCAGCACAGAATTTTCCAAAGTGAAAAAAGCTCATCAGCTTGAAGTGAAGCTTGCACTGAATGAAGAAGACAAAATACAGCACATTCCTATTGCTAATCAAAGTACTGTAGGTTTCCAGTGCAGATGATCGAGAGGCTCACATCATGAAAACATATCCATGGGTTGCAATCACAGATAAATTGTTCATTTCAGACTCCTCACTATTTAGTACATGTAGGTGAGACACAAATCAGAAGTTTTCTTCGTCTTTATAATGAAAGCCAACTCCCAGCTCTAATCCAGCTCTAATTCAACTATCAAAGTCATATTCCCTGCTTGCATGTATACACAATGTAGTTAACCTGACACAGAAACACTCCTGTATTTTATAGTTGTGAAGCACATCTAAACTAGGGCCTGCATTTCCCTTGAACTATTCTGTCTCTCTTGTTTAGTCCGACACAGTAAGGTACAGTTATGAGTAAGATATGCCAGAGAGTGGAAGTTGATATGACATAAAAAGGCCAGATCCATCCCCCTCCAATTGAGGTACACATCCACTTGCTTCCGGTATATATTACTCAACTGGTGATGAACTTAGTAAGAGGATAAGCTATAGTAGCCTAACCTTTATCACATCTCAATGGTGCTTTCCTTTGTCCAAAACGTTTTGGGTTTTTTTTAACAACAAACAAGATAAATGCATACAATAGCATCCACCTACATGGATGTTCAACCATCCTACAATATCACATTTAAGCATATAATCTCACAAAACCAAACTTTTTCTTTTAATTTGTTTATGCCCATACATGCTTGATCCCAGTTTGGTCAAATTTATTCATTTTTTGTTAATCTATCAACAATACTGAATAATATTTAGAGTGATTTTGCATCTTTGATCTCTGATAAAGTCTAATCTGTTCATTCCCATATCACATGCTTGCATGCTTGAGCCAAGCTTTGTTAAAATTGCTTCAATGGTCTTAATGTCACAGTAATAATACACATATTTTCTGTGATATTTGTATCTTCCATAAAACACTTCAATGACCTTAGCCCACCTTTCAAATCTCACCATCAATCTAATCAGTTCATCATCATATACTTAAGCTAGTTTGACTGAACTCTTTTATGATCGTGTGACTTTTACCTCAAATATAATCAATTCAACTTTGTATGCTCATCCAGCTTCCTTCATCCAAGTTTGGTTTAAATTGCTTCAATAAATACTCTTCAATTTATCATGGCAATAATAAATTTTCTGGTATTTTTTAACTACCCTGTAGTCACCTGGAAAAAAATGTGTGTATCTACATGTAGCTAGAATGTATGAAAGCAACCTCAAAACACTTTACCTGGCAATCTACACGTAAACGCTTAAAGGAGTATGAGGAAAATAAAGGATAAAATTAAACCCTGCATAAAGGGCTCACACAGATCCAAAGTCCAACTTGGGCTCCTTACATATGAGTCGTATTCTATGTGAGTACATGTACCTATGTGTGTGTTAGGTAGTCTACTCAACAAAACATTTTACTGTTCATTGAGAAGGGACCCCTCACACCAAGAGCTAAACATGTTTTGGTTTTTAGTACACTTACAAAACTCACTGATCTTGGACTTCAGGCATAATGTAGTGCTCAGTGCAATTGGCGAGCGAAACAGAATGGCAACATTTTTAAATTATTGGACTAATGATAAAAAAAAAATGAGTGTGTGAAAAATTTGAGATCAGCACTAAATCTATGTGAAGCCCAAATTTGCAATTTGGCCACTGGATTGTGACATGTACACTGTACATGTATTCACGGACAACCCTCCTGTTTGTCGTGTTAAAAAATACTCTGTTCTTTCTTCTAGAAGTGCCTTCTCCCTTGGGGAACCATCTATAAGTATATTGTGGTCAGCATGTTATTAAAAATATTATCAACAAATATTTACACATATTATTAAAAATTGTTATGAAAAATTCACAGTTTAGTCGATTTCTGTGTTGGAACGAATGGGAATCACAATGAAACTGCTATTTCAACCAATTTGAAGAGTGCATACGTATAGTGATTGCAACGTTTTTAAAATCATTTTTGTAGAGGCAAGAGTATTTCAATGGTGAAAATAACCACTAAATTGCAAAATAATTGAATCTGTCTTTGCCAATTTTATCCAAACCTTAATATCCATTTGAAATGCCTCCTGGACATGATTTTCATACATTGGCAAAGAAACTTCAAATGAGACCAAAATCAAGCAAAATGAGTGATTCTAAGAATCATAATCAAAGATCGGAACAACCCCCATGCATTGCTCATGACATACATGTATGCACGCACCATTTTTTTTTAATGAATAAAAATGAATAAATGGTAACAAATTATCACGTGCTGCTGATTGACTGTACATGACCAACTGACAATATACTATCAGGAAATCTTTAACAAGAGGTCAGTGAATGTTTGAAAAATATCAATTTGTGAGGGAAACTTGATTGATATTAATGAAATCAGAGTATGGCTAATTTGTGGATATTTAATTATCACTTGCAAATATTTCAATTTTCCTATCTTTCCCATCATCAAAGTTTTAACTATTTTTTTTTCTCTTCTTCAATTTCCTTTTTACATGAAACTAACTGAATTCAGGAGATAAATTTACTTTGGACTCAGCCTTGGGCCTATACAATGGTGAGGGAGTGAATGAGGGGAGGGGAGGGGAGGGGAGGGGAGGGGAGGGGAGGGAGGAAAGCAGACTCTAAACAAATATTTCTCTATACTAATACTCTTTTCACATTGGTTTTGCTCAACACCATACTTTGCTTACTTTGCTTAGCCCTGTTACTAATAACCCCGTACCTTAAAGCAAGTACACAGTGCCCGCTTCTTGGGAGTTAATATTGATGACAAGTTATCATGGTCTTTACATATTAATGATATTGCATTGAAGATCTCGAGGATTACTGGAGTTATGTCAAAACTGAAATACTGTATGTATTACCGTCAAAGGTACTGCTTTTGCTATACAATTCATTAATTCTTCCTCTTTTACAATATGGTAATATGCTATGGATAAATGCATCAAATACATTGGTAAATCGTTTTATACATTTGTTGCAAAAACGTGTAATACGCATAGTTGCCAAGTCTCATTATTTGGCCCATACCAACAATATCTTTAAACAATGAAGGGTTTTGACTGTACATGTATATGAATTAGGTAGGTTACAACTGGGAGAATTTATGTACAGGTCTGAAAAGGGACTATTACCAAACTCACTTCAAAACTGGTTTAGATGCAACAGTGATGTACATTGTTATAACACCCGAAACTCCAAGAATTTGAATAGCATTTATTACAGAACTGCTACTGGCCAAAGAAGTGTTAAGTATTAGGGTTACCTTACATGGTCTACTTAAAATGACAGTCTCAAACAATCTGCATCATTACGACAATTTAAGTATAAATATAAACAATATCTTTGCAATTCTAAATAGTCATATCAATTTAAAAACAATTATTATTATATTTCAAATCGCAATTATGTTATCATCGGGTCAATTCAATCTAATTATAAAACCAGACATTTGAAGGGAGAGTCCACCCTGAGGATGGGTTTACTCCGCCTTTACTTGGCCACACACATTCTCAGGGTGGACTTCCCCTTCATTGCTACCGGGGCTAGACTCGATAAGCCTCGCTTTTTCTAGCCCCATCTACATTACTCACCTTTTTATGTTTTAATGTTGATGTTTGTTAACTGATGTAGATTTTCATTGTTCTTTTATGCTTATGTATTTTTTTTTTCATTTGCTCTGTGTCAAATGTATAAAATGTATTTTCTTACCTTGTATATTCTTCTGGTTTTTAATGTGGAAAATAAATGAAATTAAATGAAATGAAATAACCCCGTACTAATAACCCCGTACTAATAACCCGGACTAACTTTTTTGGCTTTTCACACATGCTGTTTTAGTCCCGTACTAAGCGGCTTTCCTGGGATAAGAAATTTTGTTAGCCCTGGACTAGCTGTAAAACGTGAATATTCATTAGGGGTTTTCTGCAGCTTCTTACATATTTTATTATTTTTATTGGAGCGTCGGTTTCCAAAAAACGAAACCGAGACCCGACGGTGACGATCGGGATTCGGTGTGACTGACCGTACCGACTCAGGCCAAGCTAAGACCCCTCTTTAACCCCGCCTTTAGTCCGGGGTTAAGCAAATTTTGCCAGTGTGAAAACAGTATAATTACCTCAAAATAGCTGCCTCTCTTGGCGAGTTTATCACCTTCTGGTTGAAGGGGGTCCAACTCTCCAGTGTATGCCATGGTAATTCTCAATATACATCTGACACAGTGAAAGCAGATCCTCCTCAAGTCCTCTCAACCGTCACAGATCTTTAAAAAGAAAAGAAACAAAAAAAATCAAATGAATGAAAAATGATCAATTGTCAGAAGGGGATCTAAATATTTCAACAATTTTAGCTCAGTACATGTAGCTGAATGCACTTGCTAGCAATGCTAGGTGGAACCGTAATCAGGCAATTTAACGTAATAAGAATGTGATGCATTCAAGCAGTGAAAAGGCAAGCGTTACAACTCTTGCTATAATCACTACATGTATATTAAAAAAATACTGATATGTTACATTCGGGCCTCATTTCAAGTCGCTTCTGGTATATTTTTGCGGGGTTGAGCTGTGCATGCCTGCATTGATTATGTAGTGTGTACTTTATTTTCCAACAGTAAAACATATGTAAATATTGTTAAACAGACTAATTAATACTAAGATATTTGGATGTGTGATGGGCAAGCGAGCAAATAGAAGCATAGAAATGATGACGTCAAATTTCTTTGGTTGTGTTCGTTGGCAAGTGGGAATACTTGTCTATAATACTCACTCATGGGACTACAATAAAGGGTTTTAGCTTGTTGGACTAACTACAGTAACAACATTGTTTATTTCAATTTTTGTGAAATATATATATAGTAAGTTTTTTATAGCTAATTATTTAAAAAATGATAAAACACTTTTATGACCCTGTAACCTTTCACCTTTCACCTATGGCCTTTTATACCCAGAGTCAAATCAGTTCATCCTTGCAAGTTCTTTCATACTTCATCCACGTTTGTTTTGATTGAATGTTTGTCAAGTTATCACTGTAACAAGATATTTGTTAACACTTTTGTGAACCTTTCACCTTTTTTTCTGCCCTAAATCTAGTCAGTTCATCCTTTTATACCAAGTTTGGTTTAAATTGCTCATAACTTTTCAAGTTATTGAGGCAACGATATTTTTTGGCAATTTTTGACACTTTTAAGACCTTCACAGTATACTCACAGTAAGCCTATGCATAGTATGCATACGCTTAACACAGCTCTGCAACAACATCTCTTGTTGGTCTATATGCAGTGAGTTCATTGCAATAAGAGGGAGCTCGTCCATTTAAATCCAAGAGCTAATGACAGTATCTTGAACTGGATGTGAGTCTGGCCTTTTAACCAATACAAGTTTTGTAAGACAGATTTCTACATGTTTTATCCGCTTCAATTCACTTTCCATATCCAAATACAATATTGGGTTGTGTGTGTAGACCAGGATGAAACATGAAGGAGCTCTGTCTTACTGGAATTTAAAGTAGGCAATAGACATTCATTAAATTACAAGCACCGGTATGGCCGATAATTTATCACTAAAAACTAAGAAGCTTGAAGGGTATGATAATATGTTAGTCAACTGCGTATCTGACAATAAAATAAACACAAATAAAATCACCTTTCAGGATCTGGGATAAACAGAAAATTAAGCGATATTTTGATGATGTCACATCAGGGACCAATTCTGCATAACCAGACAATGTCCTATGACTAATTACATAGTTTCAGTGCAATCAATTCTCAATAATAAATATTTGATTGATTTTAAAAGGGAAGTGATGCTGATACTTATAATTCTTTGCTTCAAAGATAAATTATTGATTAAAAATACCATTGAACTATCAGCCCATTTTATAATCAAAAGCCTGCCAAATAATAGAATGGACAGTAGACGTTCCCCATTGAAATGCTGCACATTCCATGCATGCATTAGTGTATGTAGCTGAATGTACAATGGCATCTTTCTTACAAGCAGAAATTAAGCTGCAACCAAATTCTTCTTCATAAAGCTGCATTTTTTCATGAAATGAAACCATGTCCGAAATTTAGAGTGAGGCAACAGATCAAAAAGTTACAACAAGCTGGTGAAGTAAGAAAAATGGGTGAAGTAAGAAAAAAGAGTGAAGAGGAGACGATAAAACAAGTACTACAATTTGTGGATTGTTATTGGACATCGTCTGCTTATGTTACATGTAATTCAGGCCCTTGGGTGACGTCATAAACCTCAGCAGTATTCAGAAAGCTCTTCAAGTACAAAAGTTGGACAGTATTTTACTGTTTTAAAATTGATCATAATTCTTACTTTGAATATTTCCAAGCAGGGAAATTTGATAAAATTGTAAGATCTAACCATTCCTTGCAATGGTACAAATTAAATCAATGTTTAAAATAAATCAACCTCTAACTAAACTTTAAACTGCTAAAACAGAAGTCCACCCTGATATTAAGTTGGTTTTACTAGAAGCTGAAAATGAGAGAAGCAGGTCAGCGAAAAATTTAAGCACAAAACAATTTAAAATAAGAAAGTTATGAACTTTTGGAAGTTTTTATCAATCAAATACTAATTTGTTACTCTGTGACATATCTTTTGAGCTCTTCTCCTGTTTGCTGTGTACAGTACTAATAAATTATTTTCCCCTTCCCCTTGTCAATCATCCAATCGCCCTAAATATAATTAATGCAAATATGTTTTTATACAACTCCTGTATGAGACAAATCTATTCCGTCATCATTAGGGAAATTAAAGTTTATTGACACTTTACGTACAGATCAAATGGTTTCTCTCATTTTCCTGTCCTAAAGAACTGACAGATGTACATGAATCAGATGAAAGTAAATCAACATTTGAATCACTATTTTACAACAATGGCACTTATGTCGGGCCTTCCTTAAGAAATGAGAAATAACGTATTAGTCAATTGATATAACAAATCATTCCTTTATTTAATAATCATCGTTGATAATACACAGTCCATCTTAAGGAATAATATTGACATACCTATTAAAGTGAATCGAACATCAGTCAAATCACATAACGAATCACTTCTTTATCTAACGATGACTTACGTCGGACCTTCCTAAAGAATTTGGGAATGTACATGAATTGGGGGTAGGTTGATTTACATGACGAATCACTCCTTTATCTAATTGTACCTTTGTACTTGCATCATAACTTTCTGAGGTAAGTCGATTAAGAGAATGAATAACTTCTTTATCACATAATCAGTTATCCAACAAAAAATGTATGCAAAATGTTGTTACAAAGTTAATTGATCGATTGGTTAATTCACGCTTCAATCAATCCATTTATTAATTCATACTTTCCATCTGCTCCCACCCCCCCCCCCTTTTTTTTTTCTCTCAATATAATTATAAAAAAGATGGCATACAGAAAATTTCCCAAATGTTTTGGGCTACCGGTAATTCAATTCATTTTAAGAAATATGTTTAATTCTTTCTTATAGACCTAGAAGCTTATTGAAAAGATATGCTTAATTCCAAGATACATCCTTCAAAGACATCTGTGATCCAGTCAGTGTAAAACACATGACTCACTCACTACATGTATATGTCAAGAGCAAATAGACTAAATTTTCTCATAAAAATAAAGCCAGTATGTCAACACAATAGTTTAAGACTGTCACTTCCTCTTTACTAGAAATTTCCTTGAATGCAACAAAGGAACACATAATTCATGGATATACATGTACACACTGCACAATCAAGCTCAAGACACAAAATGAAATCTGATTTGTAATAACAAGGAAACACAAACTTGGCATGCAGACAATGCAAGGTCTCAATTTTGGAAACTTGACGGGACTATCAATTCTTTTTGAGGCAACTCAGGATAAAGGCAGAGGCTAAAGTCTAATCAACTGTATAAAGTATGGAAGAAAGAAGAGCTCTGCTTATAAAAAATCAGAAGATAGAAAGAATTCATGAGTACCTAATTTGTCAAATACTTTCACTACTTATTCTGCTGTTCACAGTTTCTGATTTTCTGTTTTATACTGGTATTGATGTCCATAAGAATATTTATGAGTAAATAATTACAAAAATGCTTCCCTATAAACAATACATGTATGAGAGTGAAGGGTTGGATTACAAGCATTTAAGGGATGGCTATTAAAAGAAAGCCCATGCACGTACTGTCTAATGTACAGACATGAAGAAATACCACTGAAACCAAAACTAAGAATTGTACACTTTTACAATTATACCCATACTTAAAAAAAAGATGCTCTATATGTTCATACACACAAGTGTAGTTCTTCTAGTCCATTTCCTGGAAATTGCTTTGCATTGATTAAGTACCTTTTTTTTTAAAGGGGGGGGGGGTCTGTTTTCTTAAAAGGCAATCCAACCCTTGTAATAAGTTCATTTGTATGAAAGCAGAAAAACAGAATGGTGAACGTCTGAAATAAATCGGACCAATAATTAGAAAGTTAAGCGTGTTTGAAATATGAGATCACTAAGTCTATGCAAATCTCAAATAACCAGTTTGGTCAGTGGATTACGACGCAGTCAATTCCATTTAATTCAATTCAATTCAAGGTATTTTATTCACTTATTGTAGCCAAAGGCTTAAGTGCAAATGAATTTACAGAATTTAAACATTAACAAAATAATACGAATTAAGAAGAATCATAGACAATATTCTAGAAATACATACTTTATTTTTAAAAATGAAAGGAACTATACATGTATAATGATAACATCTAAATATTGCTCACAAACAAAAATAATTTGGGAACTAAAATATGAATATTATTCACTTGTCATCAAAATTTAAAGGCTTACATGTATATACAAAGTACATGTAGCTTAAAGATAAACTTGAATTCTGGTAATGCGATTGCATTGTGAAAGAAAAGGTGTGGAATGGATCAGAAAAGTTGATCATATAGCATGTAAGTTATGGTGTGTAATGCAAGGTTCTGGAGTCATCAAAATCATCATAAATTTGGCATAGTCTTGGTAAAGTAACAATCACTTACACAGAAAGCTGTACATGGGACAACACACATGTTGTCGAGGCTGGTACTACCCTGGTTTCCTTATCTTTCTATGCTCATTACTGAGCCAGTATACATTTTCTTCCAAAATTGTTTGGCACATGACATTTACTTGTAATCTTGAACATCCAGTGTAAGTTTTGTTAGATTCTGTGAGAATTCATTTTCTTTTTTTACCAGAACTCAAGATTATCTTTAAAGGTAATACAAAGTTTTGATATGGGGTCATAAATTTGGTTCAAATTAACATATTTGAAGTTGGAAGTATATGCAATTTTACAATATTCAATGATTGTTGTTGATTGTAAATAATAAACTGTTCTTGTTGTATAGCTCCCTCTCAAGACTGATATTACTTAAGCTTTAGAACAGCGTTTTTTTTATACAATCGTCTGATTTGCCATTCCCGTTTGAAAATTATATATCAGAACTGCATATTCTGAGATTTTCATGATTGCAGGAGTACCATGGAATAGCCGTAGGCGCTATTTGAAATAGTGGAAATTTACCAGGAGCACGGTAAAAAAATTATTATTCAATTACTCGAAAGCAGAAATGTTTTAGGGGCTAATTTTTTTAGTGCTTATAATACATCCACAGGGGCATCAAAATATATTAAAAATAATACAGAATTACTATCCATCCAATTTTCAAAATTTCCCAAAACTTTGCATTACTTTTAAGTGGTATCCGATGGTAACAATTAATATTAAATGGTTATTTTTCATTAAGTTTAATTAAAGGAGTCTAGAAGTATGAGGTTTCTATTAAGAATAGGATAAGATAACTCTCCCTTTTTTGTGTACACGTACAAAACATATCATTTACTTCTTTGTTTTCTTTTATGAGCCTTTTCCCTTGGGGCACTTCTCAAAATATATTATGAAATAACATAATATATGTCCACTGAAAAGAAATGGCCCTCCAGAGTGATTAATTTTGGGGATCAAATTTTGTCACTTTTTGTATACATGGGAAAGTTGTCTGCCACTACACCACAGACACATTACCAATTAAGCCAATTAACTTTCAAAAATTTATAACTTTCTCATTTTTTGACTGATTTCATTAAAACTTTCACCTGTCTACTTCTCTGATTTTTCTACTTTCCTCTACAGAAGTTTGCTATTGATTTGCTATCTCGTTAATTGGTTGTGCACAGGACTTAGGCCCAATTAGGGATGTCAATGGCAAATGGCTCCAGGGCCTGAAAATTTTTGGAGGGATAAAACAATGTGCGCAAAGCGTGAAGTCCCATTCGGCCAGGGTACAGCTCTGGGTTGTAGATGATCACTGATGTAATCTGATCCTATTCTAGAGATCATTTTCCCTCATATTCAATCCCAATTTAAGGATAATGTTTAAGTCAGAAAGCCTCTATCCAGACATATTTCAGAGAAAATCAACATGTGAAGATAATGTACATGTACGACTACAGTGTGTAAACTCAATTGAGTGCAAAATAGGAAAGAGTTAACAAATTTTGTTGAAGTCAAGCTATTTTTTTAGTTGTTAAATCAACCTAAATTTATGACCGTTATTTGAGATTGGGTATTATTATCAATTACATACGGTATGCAGGGGCACATCTGCTTAAAATGTTCAATTGTATTCATTTCAATTTTTATACAAAGCTGCCAACCTCCAGAACAAAAAATCAGTAATAACAAGGCTCAAAATCAGTAATTTGGGGAATAAATCAGTCATTTTCTATGCGGCGCTATGAATCTTAAAAAAACAGCATGCCAACACTGCACGGACGCATGCGCGCATGATTATCTGAAATTTTTGGTGATTTTACTCACACAAAGGTGCTAAATATTGATTTTCAGGTCATCACAACACATCAGTTTTCCATTTTTTATTTTCTGTCTTTCTCAGCGAGTGTTGGATGGCCGCAATACTGCACAGCACTCGCTATGATACATCATATTTACCCCCCCAAAAAAAAAAAAAAAAAAAAAATTTTAGACAACATTCCGTACTGCCGTAATGACCGTTAATTTCTGTACCAATTACGGGAAATCTGTACTAGTTGGCAGCTCTGCATATATCAACACAGACCGTGGCCGCACCAACGATCGTCGAGTCGCGATACTCACATGGCCACGAACATGCACGAAAATACATGGTGGACGCTAGACTGACGGTACAGTCGTTTTACCCAAATTAACAATTATGCACAATGCCCGTACCATGCAAAGTGTGAATGTGTTCTACTAACGACTTGGACATTTCTAATTCTTTCGTACAAGGTTGCTCGTGTCACACACACGTCTGGTGCTCTTCCAAGTTGGAAAGAAAACCGGAAAGAAATTTGATACCCAAAATATAAAAAAGCCGGAATTAGACTGATAGCTTCAGTTTGAGTTGCAAAGCTATAGCGCGGAGACGGTACCGAGCGACGACGTCGACATCGAAGCCCCAAACGGAGGCTTCCCGATGTCGAATGTGATCCAAATTCAGGTGCAAAATGCAATATATGATTATGATTAAAATTAGTAAAAATTGGGCTAAAATTCCTTTGCTAAGAATCGATATGAGACTGCTAAAAAAACGGATACGGAACTACACTAGCGCCACTCTAGGTAGGTCTAGTAGGCCTAGTCAATGCACGGGGGTGTAGCGGTATGTAGGCGGTACCGGTTTTGCTAGAATTGACTCTTCTGACACATGCAAAGTGTCAGTGTCAGTTCAACTTCTGAACGCAGGCTAGGCATCATCATCGGCATTACAACTTACTTACAACTATTTATATTCACCTATTCAGATTAAAAATTCCGTCGTGTCGTTCACTTTTTTAATTTTGCTGGATCATTCGACCGTTTGTTGTCTCCTGCTTCTTCGGTGTAATGTTAAGTCTACTTCCTTCAAGTTCAATCAAGTTCAAGACTTGCTACTATAAAGTGTAAGATGCAGAGAGCTATGTACATTTACGTAGTCTACACGGTATACGCTACGACTAGCGAAGACAATTTACTCTGAATACTTCCGTAGTCTATGGTACGCTCGGCAAGCTGAGATTGCTGTGTGAAGAAAACGGACTCTAAAAGTTATACTTTACTTTAGTCCATCGATGCTAGCTTGTAGGTCTTATCAATGTATCAAGTGAGCATCTTATGTTCGCCATAGCACGTGAAAACATGTCTCCTGGATGAGTATCATATACCCTATTCCATAATTCCATCTGTTCAAATCAAAGTACTACAGGCGAAAAAATTAGGACTTCAAAAAACATTTTAAACCTTTATTTCCAATAAATGCCACCCTAAATCCCCAGGGAACCGTCTGCTATAGTATAGGTTAACACGCGAAAATTAACGAGGATTCTACGTTTGATTTAATCTCCCCTTGCATATATCCTTGAAATTATGTAAAATGCCGTATCAGGAGTTCAGGACAATTACCCCCTGGACACGCAATTACCCCCCCCCCCCCCAGAAAATTATACCCCCTAGGAAAACTATACACCCCAAGGACAATTACCCTCCCCCCCCCCCCCCCCGTACCCCATTACCAATTACAATGGCCAAAAGATGATCATGTGGCAAGCCACGCCCCCCACTCCCACACGCTTTTTTGTATTTACACATTTCTTTTATTATAGAGATTTCATTCGAAATAAAACATTACCAAACATTAACAAAGTAAATAATTCCATAGAAACACAAATCTTCATTTCGATAATTATTTTTATAACACAGATACATAAAATTCACCAAAAAAAGGGCAAATACAGAGAATAATGGAATGAAATCACTTAATTTGTTTAATATACTGAATTATAGTTATTACCATCAGGGGCGGCGATTTCTAATTCTCACGACCGGGGGGGGGGGGGGACGAAGTGCGAGGGACGAGCGAGCAGTGGCGTAATGAGCAAAACGGCTTTTGGGGGCCGGGGGCTATATAAGAAAAATCAGCATTACCCCCACTTTTACATGTAACGTGCAAGCCCCGTGGAGGGTTTTTCAAAGTGGAGAGGTAAAGTATTTACGATCAGGTAGAGCAAAGTGAGCGAAGCAAGTGAAGCATAAATAACGGTCAGATGAGCATCCAGGGGCCGCCTTAAGGCCCCTGGTGGGGTCCAGGGGGCATTCCCCCCGGAACCTCAGGGATTTTAGGCATTTAATTACGGTCGGATGATAATATTTTTGTGACACTGGAATGCAGGTCACTAATTGGAGTGGGGTAAAGGGGCTAGAATCTAAGGGGTTTTAAGCATTAAATTACGATCAGATGCGCATCCAGGGGCTGCCTTAGGGCCCTTGGTGGGGTCCAGGGGGCACAGTCCCCGGAAGCTCAGGGAAAACCATGCCATTTCAGGGGGCAACTACCCCCAAGCCCCCCCCCCCCTTATCAGTACGCCAGTTCGAGGGAGCATAGTGAACGAGAGGGATGAAGGTGACGGAAGTGACTACCCCCTCACAGGTTTTTGAAGTTTTTTTTTGTCTTTTTTTTCCAAAATATTTATTGAAAACAAATCTCATTCTTAATAATAATAGTACATGATAATAATGATAATAATAATAATAATAACATGTTCGTATAGACATAGAATATGTATAATAAAAATATAGTGTAATAGTTAACTCATCAGCAATAAAAGAAAAAGTTAACAAAATATCTGCCATTTCTTTTTATAAAGATCGAGACGATTTTTCTTGAAAGAAATTATACGTTCCATATTTTCTAAATGTTTGAGAGCTCGTTGAAAAGAAGGAAATAATGGAATAACGTTTTGCATTTTACAAGTGAATATACAATATTTTGCAAAAATAGTAACTGTATTGACGAAATAAAAATTATTGATTATGAGAGTACCAAAAAAATATTCTTCATCTGTGAACAAAACATTTCGTAAGATCTTTTCTTTTAACCATGCAAATATAACATTGTAGAAAGATCGTACTTTTTCACAATTTACAAATGAATGAGACAACGTCTGTTCATGATTTTCACAAAAAGTACACATTGAAGAAGTACTTTTCTTTTAAAGGAAACTTTGTGTTGCAATTTTTCTATGAATAAGTTTAAATTGTAAATTTCTCATTTTATTATCTATGGATCAAAATGTTTTTGAAGTTTTGTCCTTAGCAAAAGTATAGTAAAAAAAAAAAAAGCAATATAATTTTTTCACACTTCATTTTTCTACAATATTTTCATGTACACTTTGAAGGATATTATGCGAGGGAGCGCAGCTACCGAGCGAGAAGATTTTTGCATTTTTATTTGTCTAAACGCTGCACTCTTGGGCCCCCCAGAGCCTAAAAGTGGGTTTCAGTCTTTAGTCAGTATTTGATATAAATTTTTGTGAGTGCACTTAAGTTCAAATTTCAGGAGGGACGAACCCCCTAAACAAATTGAGGGGGGCGTGTCAATCCCCCCCCCCCCCCCCACTCCTGATTACCATCCCTTCTTCTACTGAATTCCCAGTTATAAATAGTTCTAGATTTAACTACTGGAAAGCTGTTTCCTGCCCAGCAATATTCATGTATATGTTAAGTTTTTCTACAAAGCAGGCGCGCCGGAAGCAGTTTGAATTGGTGGAGCAAACGTTCTAGGGGGCTCACCTTCCAGGGGCAGTGGCGTAATGAGCAAAAACGTTTGGAAGGGGGGGGGGGTGCAAAAGAAAAATCTGCATCACCACCACTCTTACACGTTACATGCAGGCCCCGCGGAACGTTTTTCAAAGTGGAGTATTAACGATCAGGTAGATCGTAAATTGACGTGGGGTCCAGGGGCTGAGCCCCCGGAAGCTTTTCGGCATTAAGTTACGGTCAGATAAGCATATTTAGATACCTTATTTGTGACACTGGCAGGTCGCTAATTGGCGGGGAGTCTAGGGGGCAGAGCCCCCGGAAGCTCAGGGGTTTTAGATATTTAACTACGGTCAGATTAGCATCCATGCAGGGGCCCTCTTTATAAGGCCATTGATGTGGTCCAGGGGGCAAAGCCCCCTGAAGCTCAGAGGCTTTTAGATATTTAACTACGGTCAGATGAGCATCCAGGGGCCCGCCATAGGGCCCTTGGTGGGGTCCGGGGGGCAGAGCCCCCGTAAGCTCTGGGGTTTTAGGCATTTAATTACCGTCAGATGAGCATATTTTGATACCTCATTTGTGACATTGGCAGGTCACTTATTTCTTCTCTCTCTCTTTCTTTCTTTTTCTCTGTAACTAACTTTTTCAAAAAGTGAGGGGGGTTCGAGCCCCCGAGCCCAGCCGTTCTGCAGGCCCTGACATGAAAGCTTCTAAATAAGCATATTTTTCGCCCGAGTGTAAAGATTTGGGAATTTCTAATTTTCCAACAAACGCGTTAAAAGGTATGACTTACAACAAAATTGAGAAAAAAATATCGGAAAATCATGTCATTTCAGCAACATTTGTAAATCACTGATATCGAATAAGAAATACCCCCCCCCCCCCCCCCCCTCCTCTCATCAGTACGGCAGCGTTCAGGGGCTCATGTCTTCTCACACCTATAACAACAAAAAACACGCGCTTTCCCATCCACTCACAATATTTCCACGATATGCGCGTATCGCTATAAGTATTATAAAAACCTCCATTGATGAATTTAGGTGGCCTGCTGAATGTTTATGAGATTTAATTCCTGTTAACTTTCCTTCTCTTTGAATGGAATTTTATATGTGATTTAATTCAGGTTTTTATTTATTGTTAGTTCTTTTGGGTTAAAAATACAAACCATCTTTACTCCTTTACGTTTTTTTTTTTTTTTTTTTTTTTTTTTTTTTTTTTTTGGGGGGGGGGGCAAAATGCACCCCCTCCACACACACACACACTTTTTTGGTTGGGGGCACTCCCACCTACCCCCCCCCCCCCCCCCACTTCCGGCGCCTATGCTACAAAGTCTTCTTCTTTTTTGTTGTTGATTTGATTTAACCGAAGGGGTAGCATTTTTCATTTTTCCAGCTATAGTTGGAATGAGTTGGAATGAGTATGGTATGAGCAATATCGATTATTTGGAGCAATTGATTTGCATTAATCCCAGGATTTTTAAAATAAGCCAAGGGCTTTATTATATCCATTTTCGAAAATTTGGTTTACAGTGCGTATACCTTTATTAAATAGATCACAATCAAAAATCATTTAATCTCTTATACATATATTATGATCATTAAATATATCTGGATCGACCTCCTCTTCAGACAATCTATATTTCCTCATATCTTGCCAAGCCTTTAGCATTTCTAAAACAAAATTGTGGTATTTAAATGTTAATTTAGACGTGTCAAAGTCGCATAGAAACAGAAATTTTCCTTCAACTGTTCTAAAACAAATTCAAAATACAGTTTCCAACCAGCATCCCTATCTAAATACTGTAGCCACATCAAACGTCGCGCCTTTACAAATAATTTAAAATTCAACATTTTGAACCCTCCATGAGAGTAGTCCTGATCAGGCGCGGGTCCAGGGGGCGAGCGGGCCTTGCCCCCCCCCCCCCCCGGCAAAAAAAAGAGAGAGAGAAGGAAGGAAAAGAAGGGAAAGGGAAAGAGGAGAGAAGGGAAAGAAAGAAGAGGAAGAAGAAAAGAAAAGGGGGAAGAAGGAAATCGGGGGGGGGGGGCGAAAGGGCCTTGCCTCCCAAATGTTACTTCCACCCCCCCCCCCATCAAAAATAAGAGAGGAAGAAGAAAAGAAAAGAAGGGGATATCAGTTGCAATTTTCCCGCCAACAACGAGTTGATCGGGGGGGCCGAAAGGCCCTTGCCCCCCCCCCCCCCCCCCAGCACACCTAAAACAGAGAGAAGGAAGGGAAGTAAAAGGAAAAGAGGAGAGAAAGGGAAAGAACAAAAAGAGAAAGAGGAAAGGTAGGGGAGATCAGTACAAGGTGTAGATCAGGGGTGGGGGCACTGGCGTACCGATGGGGAAACAGATGCCCCTAAATATTATTCAAACATGGTTAATTTTTAATTCGATACCGGTGATTAA